CAAATGAAGGTTGTAGTGTATAGAAGTAGATTCTACGTAGTAAAGTGAGTAGTTTGTAATTGTAAATTTTTTACATTGAATTTTAAAAAAAGTAATTGTGTCACCAAACTCTACCTTTAGAATTTTTTTCACGTAGACAAGTTTAATCACATAACGTGTAAAGCATCACGATTTTGACGACTTTTCACTTTGGTGCTCTTACGGCGTATCCACTAACGAATACCCAGGGCGTTGATAACCACCATCCAGGGCAGGTACCGCGCAGCTTTTGGGCTAGCAGGGGCTTTAGCCCCCCCCCACCTTTTTGCAATAATAGGTTAGAAATTTTTAGAAAGTTTACTCTAACACAACTTTAGAAAGCTTACTCTTTCGGATCCCAAGTAGTAGTAGCAGTTCATCTTGACAAGGAACCCATTTTTGTTCATTTTCTTGGTGTCTTATCTTGTTAAATCTCTCTTTTTAGTAACTGTTATCTTTTCTGAAATAGACTGTTTTTAAAAATTAAGTGGAAAGAAGCAAGTATTTTCTAAAAGGGGTGTTTTCTGGCATTCTGAAAGGCGTAACCTCAAAAAATCCTCGGCCACGCCCTTTTCAGCCCACCCACTTTTAGAATGGTGTGCGGTGCCTGACCCAGGGCGTTAGTAACCATCACCCAGGGCGTTAATAAACCTCTACCGAATCTTGCTCTCCAATGTGGAGAGAAAAGGGCTTTAAATAGATAAAGGTGCTAATAGATAGAGAGGGAGTTAATAGTTCTCTAAGATAAAACCAACGAAGGTATTGTATTAATTTTATGTATTCATTGTTATACCCCGGGTGCCAGAATCTCCATTTTTTAGTCTCAGAAACATTTTTTGAATTCTTTACCACCACAGCCGTCTACAATACTTTATCCCTAGATTCATGATGCTCTTATGCCAAGGAATCATTGTTGCGTATCAAAAATGCTAAAGGAATTTGTCTGAGTTTTCTGGAATGTAAAAATAGAAGAAAAGATTCGATTTTCGTATGATTTTCTCCTCTCTTTTAGATTTCGTATTGTGTTATTCCTTCTTTAAGCTTTTTGTGTGGTTTTCTTCCCTTCACTAAGCTCACTAAATCAGAAGTCATAAATTGTAGGTAGATTTAAAAGAAACAAGGGCTTGAAATGAATAATTTAACCGTTTTTTGTTCCAGCACTTCCCTTTTGACTCACTTCGACAATTGCAAAGGACAATTCTTTTTGTGTGGTTTTCTCTTTCGTAACAAGTCTAAACTCGTTTGAAATTCGATTCATTCTGTCTTGACAACTTCACTCCTGGTTCTCAGCTCGATACCTTAATAAATCTAGAGCCCAATTCAATGGAGGGGGCCAGAGAGACGAATTTTCAGAAAAATTTTAAGGACAACAGTAATTCAATTGCGTCATCGGTCCCAGCTCCCTATAGAGCTCCACAAGTTAGTGATTGTCGGTGTGAGCCTGCTATACCAGGAAACTTTCAAAATGCTCCTAATGCTTAAAAAAATTCGAAAATTCCCCGAACTGGAGGGGGTAGGGGGGGGGGGGTTTATCGGATTCACTCCCTTCAAAAAGCCACTACCCCAATCACCAGGAAAAATTCAAATTGATTCATCGTTTACAAAGGAGAGTCTTGCTGAGTAAAGCGATTGCAACTTCTGTTTAAAAATAATTTTGGTGTGTCATGCAAAGAAACCTCGGCTGTTCCTTCTTATTTTTTCAAAGATTCAGATATTAACGTTTAAAATGTTGTAAAAAGAGCCGTTATCAAAGAGAGATAAAGTTCTGAAAAGGCCGACAGTTTGGCATTAATGTGTGCATGGATACTTTATTTTGCCGCAAATGAAGAAATGGTTTGAAGTGTGCGGAACGATACGTGTTTGCACATGCCTTCTCTTGACTTTTATTGTCTTTCCAACGCTAGAAAGCAACCTGCAAACATTACGAACAGACGAAATGTAAGCACGGCTGCCTCGTGGGGTAATAAAAAAGAAAATTCCAAACACGCGTAGGATTAATACAAATTTTTGAAAATCTTGCGACTGGAATTAGATTGAGCCAGAGTTTGTTATTTGTCTTCTTGTGGATGTTTTGACTTTTCGAAGGTATTTTCGTATCTACTCTTTGTAAAGAGGTGAACATTCACTCACCAGTTTTAAAATCAATACAAAGTTGAATGCAGATAAACACCCTAAAAATCATAAATTTACCTGGAAGAATGGGAACAACCAACTTAGGTCATTTTGGTACTTTATATATTGACACCTGTCTTCTACTAAAAATCAGATATTCAATCTTATTGGTCAAAATAAGTAACCAAGCAACGAACGACCAATCAAATCTCGCAAGTGCCCGTCATTGACACCGATTGCATGGGCTATCTGTTTCTTTGTGACGCTCGAGAATGAAAATATCGTAGAAAGCTACAGTTGATTATACACCTTGGGTGTTTTTATTCGGTTCTAAAACTGCCTGGGTGCAAAGTATTTTTTGTGCTTAATTGGTCGGTTACGGTATCGAGAAATTCTTGTTTTTATGCAAGAATCATTTAGAGTAGATTTCCCAATATTCTTAAAAGTGATTATTGTTGAATATCACGATGTAGCACGATGTATCCTTTTTGAAAGTCTTCCTACCAAAGTATTTTTAATGCACATTTAATTCAAGAAATGCTTGAAAGGCCACGCCTTTGACATGATGATTTTGTTAGTAATAAAATGCTAATCGATGGAAATAAGAGGACTAAATAACACATATGGAAAAATATAATACAGTGTGAATAGTTGTTGACAGAAATTGCTCAGAAAGCTTGCGCATTTTTTTAGTCAAGAGAGTAATTTTGTACTTTCTTGAGAAACATAGCTGTCATTACCATCTGGTTAATTGCAAGTATGTTGTCAAAATTTGCTTGTTTTCACAAGACTAAACGTTCTTGCATTGAAGGCCTAGAAATTTAATCTCCAAAGGAAACCGAGATTGCTCAGCCACTGCAAAAATATGGTTGAAATGAAGCTTCTGTATCTCCAACGCAAGTTGTTGTCAGGAAGATTATTTCATAAGTATATATAAGAAATTGAAATGCAAAGAAGGACGTACTCTGCTTGTTCAGCTGCCGCTTCTGCTAACAGTGCGAAAGAAACTAAAAAGTCAACTTGCTTTTTAGATTTTCTTCAGACAACTTCATGTTATGCACGGAAAACTTAATTCAATGAAAAAATGTCCTTGTGATATATAGACATTTTGTTTAGCTGAACAAACAGTTCTTGGCGCACAATTGATGTGTACTACAAAAGTACTTTAAAAACAAGCGTTGTTAATCTGCTTCTTTCAAAGTAGAAGTTGACGGCATTTTTGACGTTCATCTCAAATGATCATTTGCTAGAAACGACAAAGAAATCGATGTTACCAGGCAAAGTTTCTTGGCTAAAACATACACTGTTGCCAAGGTAGATGTTAATATCGTGTTACCAAATACTCACGAATTTTTGAACCCAACAAGAGATATGCACATTGATTCGTTTGATTTTAGGCTCCTTTCTTTCCATCCTCCAAAAATGCTGGCGTACACACATATTTTATAAGAAACTGGTTATAAGAAATGAGTACTGGACAGTCAGAAAAAGTCAAGAAACTCCAGTACTCGAAACGAAAAGATTAAGAAAATATTAAATCGTGATAAGACTGAGAACAACGAAATTTTGTAAAATCCAAGAACATGATTGCCCTGACGGCCTAGAATTTAAAACACAAGAAATAAAAATATACTTCCCACATGTAAATACAGCATCAGTACGGAAGCGAATCTCTTGACGTGATAAAAAGTTCACGAACATTTCATAACATCATTCATGACATCAAAATTAAGAAACTCTTAAGAAACAATGAGCATTGAAATTTCCAGAAGATTAAGAAACTGGATTACACAGCATCGACCTTTGTTTCTTATAAAAAATGAGTATATTTTAGTAATTATCACTGATCAAAGTGATATTGAAAAAAAGACTACTGGAAAAATAAGCTCTAGTTGTTGCTGATGCTGTTAATATTGTATTGTGTTGAATGAATTCAAATCTAAATTCATTGACATTTCGTAGTTTTGAACTGACCTGGATTATAACAACGAACAATATTGATTGTCTTCAAGAAAGAGGCAAAAATATTTGATTTCCTAAATAAATTGCCTTGGATCTTTATAAACTCTACATGTACTCTTTGTTTTTACAAAGTTGTAAACTGTACTTGTAGCGGCAGAAAATTCCATTATGGTAGTTTTCGTAAACCTGAATGTACCAGCAAGGATTCCTGCATTCAATTACAGCAAGAGCAAAAGGAGAAAAATATAAATAATAACGGGCAAACCATTATGAAATGAGAGGCACAGTTTCATTTCACGAGAGCAGAGGTACCCTTGGCATTAGAGCCTAAAAACCCAGGAATTCAGTCAGGGAGTCCAGAGAAAGGTACACAGAGCGCAACCACCCCTCTTGCCCATTGAAAGGAGGGGGAAGAGGGCCAAAAATGTCCTTCTCATAAAAGGAACCTTGACGTGGGCCTTTTGCAAATGCCAAAAAGTTTCTTATGACATCCTGACTGCAATGTCTTATTCATGACGAAATTTTTAAAAAATGTCATATGGCAGCAGTTCGTCCATTTTCAAGGTGCCTACAGAAAATCGAAATAAAATGTCATTTGCAAAAAAATAAGTAGAAACTAGGAATTTTTTCTGATGCCCTTTTATTAAAGCATGCCCCTTTGCCCATTGATTGTTTTTGCGTTCTTGAATTGTGAATTTTAGACCGATGCAGGACATTATTTCAACATCATCTCTGTTGCAGGCCTCCTTGTTTGTCAATGTGAACTGAACTAGGTGGATAAAACATATAGGCTCCACATTGCCTTGCCTTTCTAATCATTTTTCCCTGTCTTTGCATTTCTGCTTTCATTTTGAAAAAAATCTTGTACTCAGAACTTTAATTGTTTTCCTTTTTTTAAATTCTTTCAGGGTTCGGATTGACAGCACCATCTACCTTTGAAGGGCAACTCTTCTTCATATTCTACGCGCTTATTGGCATACCTTTGAACATACTGTTCCTTAACACGGCGTTACAAAAGATAGTTTCTATGCTTTCTGACCTCATTAGGTCTGGTTACAACTGCATGCCTAAAAATAAATTCTTTACGCCGCCAGGACCTAAAGAGTTGCCTCTTGGTGAGATGCTCGTCGCCTCATTTGTGATTTACGCCCTAGTGACGTTGTTACTGGCAACAGCATTTACTTTGATAGAAGACTGGACGTTTTTCCAAGCAATCTACTTCTTAATAGTTGCATGTTCAACAGTGGGATTCGGAGACTATGTTCCGAGTAAAACACGGACCAGTGTGGGGCACAATGTTCACGATGGATATCGCCTTGCTAATTGGTTCTTGATTGCCATTGGGCTTCTGTTAATCTACGTAGTTCTGAATCTGCTAGCTAATTTCTTTAAAAATGTTCTTTCGCGATGCATCGATCTTTGTGGAATGAAAATTTGCCCTTGTTTAAAAACACAAGTGGAACCTTTTGATTCAAGTACTCAAAAGAACCGCCAGTCAGCCATTGGTGGTAACAGACGGGCTGTGAGTCGAATAAGCTTCGCAAACGATTTGGATGCCAACGGACCAGATCTAGGATCATTTGCAGCTATACAAGTTGCATTAGATAAGTTGAAAATGGAAGCCAGTTCAGATGACCATGGAAGCAACACAGAGCTTAAAGCACTTACTAACATTGAAAAGATTCTGCAGGCGGAGTACTTCCGAATTAGGTCCCGAAGGAAAAGCAACAGCGTAAAATCGCGCTGGAAAAGAGCTGCAAGACTGGTGAGAGAGTTGTCTCCTAAAGAAGAAGCCTCGTCTTCAAATCAATCAACAAATAACAATAGGAACGAGGCATCGCTGAAACTAGAGGATGCGAATTCGTACGCTGACCTGCCTGGGTCAATGGGTAACTGAAGGGCAGCTAAGACACAAGATATGCCTGCAGGTTGTGTCGAGAGTGCCTTGAGAACTCTACCTGAATTCTATGAACAATTCGGGAGGGAGTCAAAGAAAAAGGATCTTTAAAGGTCCCTTTTAAAGACGCATCGCTCACGAGAAGTTTCTAAAGTAAACCTGAATGGGTATAGACTCCCTTTGAGATTCTACGATTTACTGATGATGGTCATGGATCTTAGAGCCTTTGCTCCAATTGGTTAATTGTAACAGCAAAGACCATTTTCATTAAGTTTGAAGATGAGAAAAGAAACTACAAAGCAGTTATACAATATTGGTGCATCTCTAACCTATTTATTGTGTATATTTCCGAGTCGACCATTACATCCCTCCACCTAAAGAAGGATTGTTTGTCATTTGCTTTGAGATGTCTCAGCATTGCTGTGTTTACCAATGAACCAAAATATTATTTTAGTACACGATGGAAGTCTAATCTGCAGTAGTTGAATTTCTTAATATGTAGTGAGTTATATAATGACTTGTGAATAGGTACAACATTTCTTTCTAACCTCGGTGTATTGGTATTGGAATGTTTCTAGAATATTACTGACGGATGGAAAATAATATAGCTATAGTTTCGAGAGAAATCAAGTATCGTTTAAAATTTTACGAAATCATTCTAAAAAAGGAAATTTAGAAAACTTTGAAACCTAAAGGAATACGGATGAAAAAATCGAATCAATACTTTTGATTTTCATGCGAAAAAATTCCATACAGTATTAATCTCAAACTGTGAAGTTTGTATACACGCTCTGAAAGGAAGGAAGTTGATATTCTGATAATGATCACAGGTTAACTTTTTAGGTTATAAGATTAATTTAATAAAAATGGTGCAAAACTAATAATTTCGTCAACAAGCTTATCATTTTCAAATTGCAACAGGAAGGTTAAATTTGATTTCATGGAAATTAAAAAAATTGGAAGCGCGAAATTGTTTGTTTGCATAAATGTAATGTTTAACAGGGCTGAATTTATTGTACACATAAACAATTGAATATTATGTTTATATTTGTGCTGATAGCCTACACTAATTATTGGCGATCAAACTTACACAACATACTTTGAAATGTAATATAATTTAGTAAATCCTTTCACCCTTAATTTAAAGGAACTATGAACCTTGACTAATTGAACTTTGCCTGACCTTCGATCTGTAGTAACACATTTATTCTATCTAATGATTGGGGTATTTACCATTTGTGAGAGAGAAGTTATTGGAAATGGACCATCAATTAAGATGCATCGTATAAAGCAATGATGGGCACCTTAAATAAGAAACTTAAATGCTAGTTTTGAGAATCAATGCTTTTTCCAAAGTTCAGATTTGACAAAATATTCAACAAAAAGGTCATCGTTTGACTCAATAACCATTTCGTGGCATATGGAGTCTTCTGCAAGTCGGAGAAGGTACGTTGATTTACAAAACCTTTTCGTCTAAAAAGAGGTTTTGGGGAGCCATCAAGACATGCTATTGCCTTTTATTTTCTGGGCCTAGAGTAACTTTGTTCAAGTTTCTGAACCCAATTGTACTTTGATCTTAAATGATCCTATGACACAATCAGATTTTTTATTTGCGGTGTAAGGAAATTTTTTTGGGGTCAAATTATTGTCAGTCTGATTTGGATACCTTGTTACTAAATTTGAAAATTATCAATATGCAAAAAGGGTCTCCTCAAACAATTTTTGAAATTTCATTTAAAATAAATTAATACGAAATAGTATTCAACTGTATCTTGATATACTGTGGATAAGCATAAATTTGTTTGCTTTAGTACAAATGTTAGTATACATGGGATTATAGTTATGAAGTATGACAAAACAAAACAGTCACGCTCACCCTTAATTCCAAGAAAGGGTCTAAAATGAATTTTTGAAGCATAAAATGTGACAGACTTTTTCACTGTAACTAAGATAGGAAATTCGATCACATAAAATCAAAACAAGCAATTTATTTGTAGGCATAAAGTGAATTTCATTTTTATTCGAAGTTCAACGTAGCAAAACATTTATGTTTTGTAAGAAATGGTGATTTTTAATTTCCATGAAAATGAAAATGGTACCAGGGAACTCTTATAATTTACCTGGTTAAGAATACTCATAAACATCATGATATTCAATTATATAATTGATATGGATTTATTTTGATATCTAGATAAGATGTAATTTGACAGATTTACGTCATATAGCAAACAAGGAAAACGGTGCCATATGGAAGATGAAATAAATTTTCTGACTGTGATTTTAAAACGTCTGAACTTTGAATGTTAGGAAGGGGGCAGAGCTCTAAATACCATTAATCCCGTTAGATACAACGGCTTAATATTTACAAATTTACATGTTAAATAAGTCTTGAAAGCTTGCCTTCTTTTTATCATTTTGAAGTGCTTATTTGCCTAAATCTTAAGTTTATATTATATGAAGTTGGAAAAATTATGCAAATACAAATGGAAAATAGTTCCAAGTGAAAAAGTGAAGGCAACGATTCTATATGATATGAGAAGCAGAAAATCTTGGCAAAAATATTTTGGCAATTTGCTCACAATGCCATTAGAGTTTTTCGATAAACACAAGTGATAGGCTTGTATTGGCCATGGTGGTTGATCACACAAGAGAATGTTTCGTGCAAGATTTGATCACAATCAGAATCACATGAAGATACGGTACTCTTAGCTAGGGAGGGACTGGTACTCAGGGGTGCTTCTAGCGGGAGGGGGGTATTTGGGGGTTTTGACACTTCTAAGTTCTTCGTAAATTCTCCAGTAGATCTGTAGTAGGTCCAGTGTTTCTTAGTTCATTGATAGAATCATCTACCAGTAGATAAAAAGGCAGCAAAAATCTTCTTTAGCATGCTTTATCGGGAAATTTTACTTTTGATGACCTTTCGCCCCCTAATCTGGATGGTCAAGCTACGCATCTGCTTGTAGCATCTAAAGTAAAATTTATGTTTTCTTAAAGTTTGAACAATATGCATACAAGGTGCTACTGTTTTCAGTCACGATCTATCAAATAGTTCTCACAAGAAAAGAGAGTCTTCAAATTTTTCATGGACAAAGATACCTGGGAGGGGCCTTGTTCTCACAAAAAAACAAAAATTGCATAGGTACAATGATTTTACTTTGTAAATATGGCTGTTGTTGCACTTATTTATCAGGGCTGGTCCCCAAACAAAAAGTTGTATCTCGGTCTTTGAAATCTTCTACTGATGGAGGCCCTTTTAGCGGCAGCCCAACCAGCCAGACGTCGCGGCCCTAGCTATTCCGTTTGTTTCATATAGACCCGTTGCCTTTAATCTACATCGAGCTCTTGATTTAAACATTCACGCTGCCTCAGAAAGAAATTGAAATTATTGTCAAAGTGTGATACAATTGTCAATTTTCCTGTGTTTGTTTGTTGTTATGCACTTTAAATGAAGTGCACCAAACCTTCTTAAGCACATGGTAGCTGAAAGAATACAGAAATAGAAAAATTTCTACGCAAGTTACGAATGAGACGCCGATCCAAAGGCCTAGCTGACCACCAATATCCGACAGCAGCTGTTCCATCTAAAAGAAAAGTTTCAAAATGGTTGCAAAAGGAGAAATCTTAATAATCCATCGACACAGACAACTAAAATGAGGTGCAGAGTCGATTCCTCCCCCATTCAACTCCAGTACCATTCTGAAAGAACTAATCTCAAAGCTTTATAGGCTTGTATATGCCAACCAAAGCAAATTTTTGGATGATATTATTTGAGGCAAAGTAAAGGGTGTGAAACAAGAATACTTTGTTTGGGCTTTGCTTCTAGTTTCAGGCAAAAAGTACCAGACATGGTTTATTTTTGCACCTAAACAAGTTGCGCTAGATCAATTAAACGCCGTCGCGAATTAAATGCCGTCGCGAATTAAACACCGTCGTTAATAAAACGCCGTCACGAATTAAACGCTGTCGCGAATTAAACGCTGTCGCGAATTAAACGCTGTCGCGAATTAAACGCTGTCGCGAATTAAACCGTCGCGAATTAAACGCTGTAAAACGCCGTCACGAATTAAACGCTGTCGCGAATTAAACGCTGTCACGAATTAAACGCTGTCGCGAATTAAACGCTTGCGCTACTTAAGCGCCGTCGCGAATTAAACGCTGTCGTGAATTAAACGCCGTCGTGAATTACGCTGTCGCGAATTAAGCGCTGTCGCGAATTAAACGCCGTCGCGAATTAAACGCGAATTAAACGCCGTCGCGAATTAAACGCCGTCGCGAATTAAACGCCGTCGTGAATTAAAAAGCCGTCGCGAATTAAAAAGCCGTCGCGAATTAAACGCTGTCGCGAATTAAACGCATGCTGTTTTCGTGCCTGCAAAAACCAAGCCTGGTTCCAATAAAATCGTGAGAGTCGGGAACGTTTCGCCGATCTCTGCTTCCATCTTTCATAATGATCTAAGAGAAATTTCCCATTGTTCGGGAACAAGTTGAAAGCTGCTGGAAGGCGAAAAAAATCTGACAACAAAACAACTGCAAGCAAAAATGCGCCAAATAACTTTCCTATGATTGGTTGATTATATCCAAGTATTCATATTTTAAACAATAGTGGATCCCACGTCGGCAAGCCGTGTTGATCGGAAGAGTTGTACGAGTCAGGAAAGTTGAACTCTCCCGACCTTTGCGACTCACAGCGGTGCTGTCGTAACGATCGCAAGAAAGTTTTTCTATTAAAGTCAGGAGACCAACGTAGACTTTTGCAGACCGTCGTCGAATCGGCTATGGACTTATTGTTGATAGTGTGATGCAGGCCCGTAGACAGCTAAACTGGATTGGGGGGTGGGCATGGATGTCCAGTATATGGTTATGGCAAATCGAGCTGCGCTTGTAAGATATCCAACTCAAATTTAGCAAATTGTTGAGGGGCATTCCCCCCCCTTCCCCCGCCCCGGGCATGGTGTGATAATGACATACCCAGCGGAAGCAACCATTTTGTGCTTTGGGCTGAAGGATGGCTGACAGGTCAGGAGAAATTCTGATGTTTTGACACGAAGGACTTCACAAATATGGCCAGCGATCATCTGCTTTTTAGCCTTTATTTGTTCAGATTTAAGAGAGAAACGGCTTTATTCACTAAAGTATGTTGAGCCGACAAGGGTCATCATCATTATTTCTACGTGGTGTCTCATGAGAGGAAATTTGTCATCAACCAAACAAGGATAATTTCAAACCCTAAAGGGAGGGACAAAAGCTGATAATGGCTCTTCAGAGAATCATTGAACTGCATTTCAACGAGCTTCTTCTACTTCTTCTGCATCGCAAGAAATGGAATGGCAGAATCATATTTATATTTTTAGTAAAAAGGTCAACCTTTGGAAAAGCTTGTTTGGGCCGTAGTTTGGGCAAATATCAGCCTGATGTTTCTTTAAAGGGTTGTTCTTATGAAAAAGCTTGTAAGTCGAAGTTGTGTGAAAAAGTCCCACAATAATATCGCGTGCTGATACCATCTGGTGAATAAATGTAGCGAAATATAATATTGTGTTAGATAAAGAGTGGTTACCTCATAACTTGTATAGGTCTCGATAAACTCGACAATGTCACTTTCGAAGAAAAATTGCAGCCGAACGAAATTTTTCCTAGAAACAAAAGAGCTTTCGTTAATTCTATTATCAGGATGAATTTTTCTTTCGCGCTACAATCCCTGCAAAAATACATTGGAACATCCAGATGCTCGAATGTTAATTTGAAATTATTAATTGTTTTTGCTTGAAAAGACCGATTCCACATCCCTTCTCCTACAGAACTATGTTACTTGTAGAGTTTATGTAATAAACAAACAACAAAGAACACAAATAAAAAACTACCAATGAAGTCTTTGGTACCGCAAAATTTGAAGATGGCACGAAATTGCGAAAAAATTGCATATGCTGGTGGCTTAAGTTCAAAACTACAGATACAAGATAAAAAAGATAACCATATGTTGTTTGGGCTCCAATTCTAATTCCAATAGAGAACTGTATAACTTCACAATGCAAATTCTAGTAAGGTTCCAACTTCGATCCGTTCTAATTCTCTAATTTGTCTTCTCTGATTTCTAACGCACACTTCAACGTGTGCATTAAGTGACTACAGCAACAACTAGTGAGGAGTACGTCATACCATATAATTTTTGCAGCATACTTAAGTACTTTTCGTCCGACACTCTTCAGAGTATGTACGTCGCATAATGACAGAAAGTAAGCTGAAAATCTATATCCAGATACATTTATATGTATTTCATCTGAATTTATATCTAAACAGCGTCGGACGAGTTTTCATCTTGCCACTATTTCTAATCGTTGAAAAGAAGAATTTCAACTCGATCTGTAAAAGAAGGATTCTCGAGCATTTTTGTTCTCGAACAAGGTTGAGGCTTATCAGTACACGTTTTCAAATAAAAGAATAAGTGTTATCTATAAAAAATGAGTGATTTATGAAACAAGGAAGATATTGTATCCGTAATTATTATAACTTGTGCTCAGATATACACAATGAAGGAAAGTAACATGTTTTGGAAAATATAATATTCAACAGAACACCAATGTTTTATGTGTATTCCATGAAGAATGCTGACCGTATTAAGTGTAAGGGTAAAGCAAGAAATCCAGAGATAAGAAGCATGATAATCAGTTTATTACTCGCCTGTAATCATCATCATTTCTGAAAATGCTTGTCTTCAGCTTCTACGGGAATAAAGCAAAATGCATTTGAATTCAGCTTTATGAAGATGTTTGAAGATTAAGTGGAAATGGACCATCACATGCTCCACTAGAAAGAATACTTTATGTGCCTTATAAACATGCAAAATTCGCTTGGTTGATATATAAGTATGATCCATGTAAGTTATTACAATAGTTCGATCAAGCATGACTACTATTTGAATCGTAGTTTTTACATTAGCAGGGGCGGTTTGGAATGATATTCCTTTTTAAGAAATTGACTTTTAGGAGCCAAAAAGTTTGCATTTTGCGTATTTGGCTTAATTTAAAATTGGAATGCTGCAGTATAGAGTACCGAAGTGTGACATCACCAAAAATCTATTTTCCGGGATCCGGGATCAAAATTCAGCGATTCTAAAAATAGATTTTTATGACGTCATCACTTCGGTACTCTTTAGTATGGCATTAGCTGAAAGAATAGATCTAAAAATCCCTATGCAGAGTTGATCTAGTGTATTAACGACATTTATTTTGAAACTCAGGCGGTTTAAAACCAAGGAAAACACAGTACAATATAAATGAACTTGTAATTTTACTCTCATGCTCCATAACTTTTGTGTAAAATTTGCTGCTGATATTTATTTGTAAAACTTCTGACACCATTCGTTGTTTGAGCGATTGACCGAGCGAATAAACGACACGTTTTGACACACAAAATCAATTCCTTTTATTCCATCCAGAGCTAAGAAATTCTTTTACACAATATCGAAACTTAGGTACTAAACAGCCTTTCATAAGCACTGTTACGCCATTAAATTATATATATATGAAACGAAACCTCGAGTGCTTTCACAAACCACTCGGGTTGAACGCCATCAGCCCTCTCTTAGCCTTTCAATCCATGACCGTTCTTTGTGTGTGTGCAAGTGAGTGCTACATGTTTGATACCAGTGGCCTTTCGCAAGCACCACGCTTCTCTCTCTAACTCACCCTGTTTCTCCTTACTCTACTTTATATAACAGCATTACAATATAGCAAACTAACATCAATAATTGCCGGTGTTATTGTCGGTATCTATCGTGCAATACGTAAATGAACTAGTAGGAGGTGTTAGATCCTCTCCCTTTCTCAACTCCAAAACCCATTCCTTCCAGTGGGCCCCTGTATGAATTAACATGACGTTTGAAAGGTCATGCAAAGTTTTAGAATAACATTTTATGCGCAAGAAGATAAATACAGTTTAGCAATGAAAATGTTAGGAAATGTTGTAAAGTCGGGGTATTATTTTGCAAAATCAAATCAAAAACTTTTTCTAAAATCCAGCCTTTTTAAAATCAAGCTAGTCAGCCCATTCAATTCTTCTCTTCTCTAATCAATTCCAACCTTACTTCTACCCTAACCATCTAGATACCCTGACGCATAATCAGTTTACAGACAACAGGATTTCGAAGATGATTAATAGAGAGTGCGGGAAAATAACCGACCCGAGCGAGGCTCGAACTCACGACCCCTGACTTTGTACGTCAAGTGCTCTACCGCTGAGCTATCGGGTCGTGCTTTCAAGCCAACACCCAAGGCCGAGTCATTCACCCGCACTGCCCCTCTCTTTTACCAGATACACAGGTGCATAATCAAGGAACCTCATATCTCTCCCTTTCTCAACTCCAAAACCCATTCCTTCCAGTGGGCCCCTGTCGAGATTCGACTTTATCAGAAATATTTCCCTTCATGAAGAGTTATTTTTTAATGCATAACTCTTTCCCGTCATGAAAAGTGCTTTTTCGATGAATAACTCTTTCCCTTCATGAAATGTGCTTTTTCGATGCATAACTCTTTTCCTTCATGAAAAGTGCTTTTTCCGAAGTTACGCCCCGCCTAACCCTGTCAATCCCGTCCCCTCAACCTTGATGCTTCCATGTATATAAAAACGCTGCAATGAGTACCCTATGCCGATGGCTGAATTTTACAAAATAACAAAAATTTCATCTTTGTCCTTTTCCGTTATCAATCAGTCATGATCCTTGATGAATGATTACGTAAGGTGCCCATGAGTATATACCCCTTTTCCTTATTTTTCCACTCTATGTTTCATTTTGTATCAAAAATTTTTCAGTTGTTTTTGTTTCGTTTTCACCTTCTACGCCTTACTTTGTAACTGTCGAATCTGATTCTTTAGAGGCTATGGTACCAAGTGAAGAGCACAGGACATTACACTTGTTAGTTTGACCATAAGGGTCTTATGGGCTTGGGCGTTGGGCTCCTCGGGCTTGGGCGTTGTGTTGAAGTCTTGTTAGTTTGACCACAAGGGTCTTATAAATTTCCCTGCTTGATTCTTTGGGCTTGGGCCTTGTATTGAAGTTGTCGTTGCGCTGAGTTATGTTATAGTTGTCGGTACGTTGGGACTTGTCATAGTTGTCATTACGTTGAGTCGTGTTATAGTTGTTGTTACGTTGAGTCGAGGATGTGCTGCTGTTGATGGGTGTTGAATCAAGATGTCGTTGGTTGAAAGAAGTTTTATTTGCGTTGCTGAACTCTGAATAACAGCAAAACCATAAAAGTGAATATTGTTCGTCTCCTCATTTGGTAAAAATTTGTAACTTTACACAAGCTAACTTACCGGAAGGGCGGCAGTATAGAGCGTTGAGTATGTAACTGAATGGGAGAATTTGGCTTCGCTGAGAAAAAAATGAACAAGATAGCTAAATATAACTAAAATAAATGTATGGCAACAACACCAAAAAGATGGCACTGTGCCCCAAGTGATGGTACCAATTGATAGCAGCTGATTTAAATATGGCTAGATGTCAACTTTATCTTAAGCAAACTGATTTCCATTTGTCACTTCAGCAATCTGTGCTTTGATTTGGGCTTCCAACATGCAAAAATGAACAGTTCCTAAAATTACCAATACTCAGAGTTGTCATGGAGAGTGTCCTGGGGGGGGGGGCGGGTGCTGTGCTAAGCCCCTTTGTCAAAATTCAGAGGAATTTTGAGGGTATCAGCCCTCAAAACAAGGGAGCACGGGTTTAAGGGAACAAATTCAGTTTTAGCAACCTTTTATTATGCTACAGATTTTCTGTTAACGAGTAATTTCCTACCAAGTCCTTTTGAGTTGGTGAATTGTTTTAATAATTTCATATACAACAGAAAGCCTTTAATAAGTCTTCAAGTATATCGCTATAACTTCAAGTCAGCTCTCAAAAATAATCATATTTTCAGGTTAAAAAAAGAATTACCATGTTTTACCAAAGGTCACGTGCCTCGTGGCTTTGGCTTTGCCAAAGTGGGCGTGTTATATTTGGGCATGGCCTATTTGGCTTATTAAGGGAAATGCTTACCCAGATCCGAGGTAGCGATGTTGCTCAATTAAGACATACAAGGAATTTCGAGAAAATAACTAAAGTTTTTCCGAATTTGATAAATGCAAGCAGAGAAGACGTGATGACAAGTAACTTTTTTCGAAACGTGGAATGATCCACGAGATTAAGATAAATAAAGGGTGTAGAGACACAATAAAGAGGAATAGAGAGTAATTAAAAAAATTAAAGTCACAGCTAAAAAATTGCTTCATAGAAGAAAAAAATAAAGGAAATACAAGGGAAAATAGGAAGCAAGAAGGGGTTTGGAAAAGAAGCACATTTTCAGCAAAAAACGACATGAAAGAAAGGATGAAAAAATAGATCTGAAAGCAACTTAAAAAACGTAAAAAGGAAAAAGCAAATGAAAAACCACGTTTCATTTTCATACATAAAGTTTTTCTTCAATCGAGTTACTTTACATAGAAAAACGGTAGCAGCAGCAGAATTTAAATGATGAAAGTTTTCACTAAAGCAAAGCAGAATTAAGAGAATGAAATACTTACAAACAAGGCGGTGGACATTTGGTGCTGCATATCTTGTTGATACCCAATGCATCCATTTCCGTTGAAACCTCAGCCTTGCACATGTCTATCGAGGAAAAGAAAAATATCATCTAGCTCAAATGAATTTGCTATAATGTCTTAAAGACGAAGAAAGCATCTGATTAGTGGCTGCAGTGGACGGACTATAGAGGGTGAGGGTAACCCATGGGACAACACCCTTTATTCCTCACTTGAGCTGTCATACCATGTTCATTGTCTTTAGCTAAATATAAAAAATGATTTTTATCTACCGAATGCATCTTTATCATTTTTTGGAAGAATTATCTGGACCATCTTTTGTTAAAAAGTTAAGAGGGCTAATAGCTCCCAGTATTTTGGCATCGCACCCTTATTCTAAACACTCTCAACTTAAAGCTGAATATGAAAACAACATAATGCTTTTCATGGTATCTTTAGAGAATGGAACTTTGCTGAATACCAATTTAAGTTTTTTTTATTCCCAAGTGTACTTTGATGCCTGAGAAAAGGAAGGGGAGTGTCCATGATGCCCTTCCATTTCTTCTATGTGGTAAACGCACTATATAGATAATCGTTGCTTTCAACACCCTTTCAATGTAAACGATGTGAATGAACATATACTTCTAATTGAAAGTTATAGACATTTGTTTTAAACTGGATCGATTTACATCACGTTGTAGGACTGGTATTATTCTAATTCTCAACAAATTCGGTCGTTTGGAATATTGTGAATGGAATTCTACTCACGTTCTTCAACAGTCAAACAGGTTCTATTTGGAGAGCTAAGTCTGAGGCCAGTGCAGTTGCATTTCTTTAACTGCCTTTGCCAGTGGCATCTCTGGGTGCAACGCTAAAATTCAAGGCACACCATCTGTTAAGATACAGTTTCAGATTAAAACCTTTTTTAAGTGGATAGCTAAAATATGAAATAGCCCATATTCGGAAATTCTATGTTCTGTGTGCAGGTCAAATTTAATAAATTCCTGATTTATATCATACTTGAGCCAAAAGTTGGGGAGATTACAGCCCCCAGGCCCCCGGATCGTTCTTTAATAGCATTCTTTGACAGCTAGGATGGTTTCTATCTTACTCTTTCTAACACGATGGCTGCTTAACAAACACAATCTTCTTAAAAACTCCTCTTTAAAAACACGCTTTGTTTGTCAAGATCTAAAGAGACTGTCGAGTCTAGACCAGGCCCCTAATAGACCCCGGGACCAAGCAAAGTTCATTCTTTGAAACTTCGAGTAAAACGTTCAGCGCAATATTCAAAACTGTACAAGACTGACCATATTTCAAATGAAATGTACTGTACTGTGAAAGGTTCATCCATTTTGCCTTGGCTTGGTATGATGGAAATGCAACTCGAGGGTTCACACAGTCAGGTGTATCAAAATCAACTAATTTGATCTTCAATTAACACAAAAATTAATCACTTTGATGCGATGGTCAACTTATCGAATTCGAAATTCCAAAAGTATGCGCTGCTCAGCTCTCAGCTTCGCTCGCTCCAGTACAAAAAAACTGGCAGTAAAAAGTGATTGGGTAGATAATATTTGATGAATCTGGCATAACTGCACTGTCAGATTTATGGAATTTTTTTACCATAACCAAAATTCAATCCTAATATAATAATTCAACAAAAAGCAGATTTTTAAGAAAATTATTACCTACCTGCATCGTGTATTTATCACCATCTTCGTCAAGGGAGTCACTTCTTCGACAGCTGCCATTATTAAATGGATCAACTCGAACAGCTTCGACCTTGAATAAAACATTGATTGCAATTATTTCAAAGATGTTCTTTCTGTTGATTACACAAGAAAAAATTGGTCAATTTTATGGGCAGCATTTCCATTCATATGTGCATCTGTCAGCCTTGTATGCTTTAAAGACACCCATACTCTTCGACCAAGGAAAACCTTTTTTACATTTTAACACAGGTTTTTAACAAACAATAGCCCTGCGCTTAAATTTATGATGATTTTAGATGATGCAATTGTCAACTTCTTTCCTAAATGAAGTGCATTCAATGCTAAGTGATTGCTGGTTTTGCCGGGCTTTGCTTATTCTTTTTAATTTTTGGACACTGTTCTACGGTACAAGCAGGCCATTGGGTTCTAGTTATGACCGCAAAGACAGAAATGAAAGTATCATTGAAGACAAATGACCAATGTTTCAAAGAAAAGCAAATTTTTTTTGAAAATTTGACCGGTTCTTCGAAACAGCTCTGGGGCCCTCTAGACTCGAGCCTGATCTATACAAAGTCTTTCGTTGGATCTGGCAAAACGTCACAAGAGATATTGGAAAACAGGGTTGTTAGATCCCTTTTATTTTTTCCGCCCCAAGACCGATAATATATACATGGATCTCATGATCCAAGCTCACGTTTCATTGCTAGGAAGAATTCATGACAATGCGTGTTCGCAGCTCCATTTCAGTTAATACAGAGGGGTAGGTGAACGAATGGAAATTTGCCTCTGTTTTTCCATCTTACCTTCTTAATTCCAATGCTGGCATGAACACCGGGGGGAACACTGAATCCCTGTATTGATGGCAACGGAAACACGCCCTGATCTGCGAGCAAAACTCTGACGCCAGTTTCCTTGGTCAATTCTTCATCATACTCGTAGAGTTCAATGTTCAAATCTAAAGTTAATCCTGTCAACATAAAAAGAACAGTTAATCAGGGCTGCATATTGAAAATACGTCACTTTCTCTACAAGTCAGGCTTAGTTTTATGTGTCATTCAGATACGTAATTTTTGAAATTCAAATAAGCACCTGGGGGTGGACATGAAAAAACTTAACGCTGAAGGGGAAGCTTAGTTGAATATGGACATACTCGGGGCGCGTGGTTTAATTGTAGACCCACTTCGTATTTTTGCGATATAAATTATAACTTTTTTAGGTTTACTGATGATGCAAGCTTTCATCGGATATAGGGGGGGGGGGGATGTCTTACTTCTCTAGTATTTACAGTAAAAACTGAGGAAGACAGGCTAGGCAGGTCTTGAACGCAGGCCATTGCAAGCTCTTAAAATGATTGGGTTTTGAACTTGACAAAATCAGTAATATGCTATACTGCCGTTTTCGTGCTATATCACGCCCACAGATTTTAAAAATAGCCTAAGATAATAAAACATGGTCACACGAAGAGAACTCAAGTACCATTTTGCATTCCAACATCTTCCAGCCTAAGAGGTTCTTGCTTCTTTCTCTCCATATTGTAACCGTAGTTGAAAATGAAGCAGTTGCCATAGATGTGATTCCAGACTTTATACCATCGGTTCTCAAGCATACTGAAATGCCAATAAATTCAATTGGTAGAATGCAAGGTTTAGAGGGTAGATAAAGAGCACAAAATTGTCATGTAATTCAAAAGCAATGCTATTCAACCTTGTCTTACTTCTTTGTTCAGTGATGTTCTGTTGTTCGTTCTAGTCTTTTGTTCGTGGTGTTTTAAACCGTATTTTGTCACTTCCTTTTAAGTTGGTAACATACAATACTAGCTATATTAAAGCTAATGAAAACCAACAATTTCTTCTATAAAACTTGGGTTTTCGTGATAAATAGCTTTGCGTTGAATAAACATTTAAGTAGCCATGGAATTAATAATAGCCCCAAGAGGGCATGACTTCCTTTATCGTTCACTTTAGGGGACACTAGTGAAGAAGTCTGTAGAGCAACAATTTCTAAGGAAGATTTAACTAAGCAAAAAACAGGGTAATACAAAAATCAAAAACGCAAAACATAATGACGACATTCATTATAAGCAAGCCCTCAATAAAAAGAATTGCGCGGGGTGTTTCTACATTTTTGGTCACCAAAAATGGTCCAGATGCTTAATTATTGGTCTATAATAAAAAAAACAAATGAATTTCTCTGTATTATGTACTTCTTCAGACGAAATGATGTTTAATATTTGTTCCAGGTTACCAAGAAATAAGGGTAAGATGGCCCTTAGAATATCTGACCATTATTAATCATGAGATTGAAGATGATGTTCTCTCATCATTTGGACCATTCATTTTGGGGCTGTTGGTGTGCCAATCGCAAAAACGACCACAAGTAAAACTCAAACCGTTTTTAAGGGGGTTGAGAAGAAGAAACACAGACTAGCAACACCTTGTTCATGCAAAAGTCACAAGCCATTGGGCCATTAACTAATATACGAAGAAAAGAGATAGAAAGTTAAAATTCGTGTAAAAAACTGATACTGAGACATGGGTTGGGTAGGCCAAAACCTTTGATCTCCTGTCTCCACAGTCAAACTTCAGGTTGTCTTGTAACGTGTGAGGTTGAAACTATGCCAACATAAAGTTTTTATCCCCAAGGCCAATGCACTCTTGCCCGCTTGTTGCTTTGGCCGCTTGTTGCTTACTCGAGCACCGCTACAATGAGCACAAACTCCACAATCTGTGCCAAAAAACGAAGGCCCAAGCACACCAAAAAACAAAATTTTATTCAATCAAGTTTTAAGATTCAAGATTCCAAATTTTGTGTGAAATGATGATTAGACTGTGCCAGTCAGGCAAAATAAACAATGAATTATTGAAAAATCAAGCTTAAATTCAAAAATCTATCTTATCAATTTTTGTTGCTTACCCTGACTTGCAATCAATTCCTTTCCAGTCACACCTGACCACAAAATTGTGAAATTGATGACCCAATCCTTTCAATTGTGGCTTTTCTATATTGCTAAGGTATTCAAGAAGGCATCTCCTTTCAATGATATCAGTGTTAACTGAAATATTCATCGATGAAGTGTTACTGGCTTGATTTGCCATACCAATGGCTTTCAGCATCATTTCTTTGTACAACGACATCATCGAGGCATCTTGTTTGAAGTTTATTAACTTCCTTCTCTTCGCTTTTTGGAATTCTGATTTGCGTAACATATTGTGATTGCAAACCATGACAGAAGGGAAGATCATGGTCTGGAATTAAGGTAAGATTTAGGTAAAATTTAAATATAAATACTTGAATATGAATACACCTGTTTGCAGCGCATTCTTAAACCTACCACGTTGAATAAGTAAGAAAGAAGAACCGAAGGATAGGCTGTCCGCCTGATTCTTTGAATCTTTCAATGAGTAGTAACATGATACAAGGTGATACAAAGTCAGGAACACTGCAAAACTATGACGAGAATTAAATGTTGCTGAATAGAAACTTAACATGAATTTGATATAAATTTATATTTCCCCTCGTCGTACAATCAAATGAAGCCATGTAGGGCGAAATATTAGTATATTTACTCGGGAGATGAATCATGCCCGTCCTCGAGACATGCACTAGCCCCCGTTTTCGGTCGATTGCACATGCGCATTATCATTTGAAGCCTTGGCGGGAAGTTGTGTGGTCCCAGATAGAGCAGCTGTGTGAATACTGTTATTAATGCGCATGTACTTTGAACCTGCAACACTGATTGGATTAAGAAAGTATTGTTTCGAAACAAAGGACTAAAGGTTTCGTCTCCTTAACAAATATATTAAATTTATTTCAAAGTTCTATCATACAAAATTAATTCTTGTCATCGTTTTGCTCTGACCGGTTTGCCAGAAGTATTTAAAGGCAGTGGAACTAAGTCAATTTACTCTTTGCTTTGCGCTTCATTCAGTCGATATTCTTTTTACTAGAAATTAGTCTGTTTAGAGCATGGGCTTTTTGCAGGTATACGGTGTGTTGACACGAAGAAGTCATCGGATTTCCAGGAGATTTGGTAATGTGTTATTGGTGGACGGTGAGCTGGGGGGGGGGATTGGTTATTCTACCCTAGCGATATAAGCCACTCAAATGTCCCCCCATTATGTATTTATTTGAACTTTAATTAATTTTTATATAAAGCCATGGACTTTCGAAAGTACAGTTAGCTTTGGCGCGATAACTACACAACAATGTTGCCTAATGTCTAGACGTAAAAAGGCAGCTTAGTGTTTCTAGAGAAGGTATATCGGTGGGATTCAACGGGATTAAAGACTACTAAATAAAGGCTTATGGTCGTCTCTTTCGTCCAAAAAAAGTGAATTCCTTACCCTGTTTAGTTCGCCATTTTGTCTAGCAAAGTTACTGTAGAAATGTTTTCAAATCTTTGCATAATATTTCAAACTTTAGCGATATTATGATTAAGCCAATCAATCGTTGCTAGGAAATTGGAAAAACAGTTTACACATAAGCGAAAACTATAGTAAAAAGACTCGAGATGAAAACGAAAATTGATAGTAAGAAACTAGCTCACTTGTTCATGCCTCACTCCAACAGTTGTCGAGACGGGCTTTGACAAATATTTTTTAACAAGCTGCGCACAGAGAAATAAATTTGTCGTCAACGCCGCTAAACAAACAATCAACCACACTGCTTTGCCAAGCGTTTTTTTCGATGAAACCAAATGCTGAATCCCATGTGCAGTTGTAGAGTTTGCGAAATCATCAAAAATTTTCTTCACCGAGCCTTGCTCATTACGATTGTTCTCCTTCTTCTCTGAAGATTTCATCATTTCAACTCAATAAATATTGGCTCTATTTTGAGTCTAAGACATTGAGATGCACTCTACTGAAGAAATCGGTGTTATACAAACTGTCTCTCTGCCGAAATGTACTTAACAAAAAAAGATCAAACTAGTTATTTCATAAGAATGACAATATTTTTGTTGTCACCAAAACAACTATTGCCTTTCAGCCACTTTGCAAATATTGTTTTCAATACATATGAAGAAATTTTCGTTTCAACCTTAATACCGAAATATAACAGATTATTGTCATTTAATGAAAATCAAAGGATGCAATGAATAATTAATAGGTTAATTAGCTAATTCATTCCTTATAAAATAAGTGTTATCTATAGATAAACAATAAAGCAAAGTCGAGTGACTTTTCTTCGAAAATTTAATGAACAGAAGAGAACGCCGAATTCGAAAGCATTTTAAAAAACCACAAAATTTGACAATGGAACTTTAAAAAAACTGTGAGTAGTTACAGGGATGTTTGGGAGTCAATTAATCAAGCTCCTCTACTTCTGTTGGATAAAATTCACTTCAATAAATGCTTTGTATTCTTCATAATAAAATAATTCGGGACAGACATTCAAATTCTCTCATTTCTTTCTTTATTTTTGTGCTTGAAGTTTCTTAAACAACAAATCCTTGCGAGTTACCTTACAACTTAAAAAAGATAATATTGAACAAAACACTTAATCTTTTGCAAGAAGTTAATATTTCTTTTATCTCGGGTGCTTAAAAAATATGGTGCCTAGTTATAAAATGAATCATTCTCAGTCCAGTCTATCTTCAAAGTAATCATATTAAGGGAGACAAATGCTATGGTTTCTTAAGACTTGGTCAATTTAGAGTTGGGTATCTTGAAGACTGTTCCTTGGAAAAATGTGCATTCTTAAAAAAATTAATTATGCGAGATTATTTTTCTTCAAAAACATTTAACGCACATAGGTAATGCTAAGTAAAAGATTAAATTCAGTGCTGACGGTCGTATATGTATACACATTTCTAGATTACAACAAAAACGCCAAAATCTACTGTTATAACAACGTGTGCAAAAGTTTTGCCTCACCATGGGGTGTAAAGTGATCATTTCGTTACTTTGTTCCTCCCAACTCGAGTAAAACATGCATCAACCTCTAAAAATGCCTGCTCATAAAAAAGGGATTTCTTGTTTTGTAGTAATTAGCAGTAAATAAAGAGCACCGCTACGCGCCGAGAACAAATAACAATAAACAAACGTAAATAAACTATGACTAATATTTCGCCCCGGCATACGCGGCTTCATCAGAGTGAAAGTAAACGGACTAAAGAGTGTACAAATTCATACGACATCTCCTTTCCAATTGCAGAAATGCAATAAACAAAGTAGGATTCGTATATAGCGACCGGCCGGTGAACAGCAAAGAAAACGTTAGGCACAGAATAATATAGTAAAGGTGGACTGGACCCAAATCAACATCGTGATAAATTAATAAAACTCACATTAATTAACATATATTTCAAAAAACACTAACAACGAAGCATAATTTATAGCTTTCTCTGAATGGCTATCTATTGTCGTAGAACATCTTCTTTGCATTAATGCACCGAGTAAAGTAGTTTTTATTTAGCATCCACAACAAAATATACGCTCTGCTGAAGCATTAAATAAGGTAAAAGGGGCCAAAAGTAAACAAAACTCTCCAGGTTCGGGTACTTTCTTGCACAATCATGCAAAGATTGACCTTTTACCTAAATCAATATTCATTCCACTGCTTTCCTCATCGATATTTTCAAGGATATGCTGCCTCTGTTCCCGACCGAGATCCTTAAAGCCTTCTTGTTAGTGTGATAGTTTTGTAAAAAATTGTCCAAGAGACAGTTGCGACGCACTTGAGGCATTCTTTGGATGATTGCATTTCATTATTTAACAAAACTCCGATTTAAGATCGCCTCCATCTTGAATCTGCAGGACACTTTTAAACACGCGATCTTTTTAATTAATTCGGTAATTTTTGTAAAAAAAGAACCCTTTAACGCCTTCATTAGTTACTCTAAGCTTTGGCACTGTCACCTTTATCGATATCCATGCAATGAAGGCAATAGACTTCATAAGCGTTTTAACTTAAAGTTGTCATCATCGTCAGGTACCATCTTTTATCAGAAGGTACCCTGAAGTTTTACCATGACCCTCCAACTATCTCAAAATCTGAGTTTTGGTTTGTTGTCATGGTCATAGATAAAACTAAGGGGCTAATAGTAGAGATGGCCCCCAGAACCACCTCTACAGTGTTTTTAAAGGGAAACCATCCCTCTTTCCAGGAGTTCTTCCGCCCGAAGCCGTTGACCCCTGGAGTCGTAGCTCATCTGCCCTCTTTGCCGGTCTCCCGCCGAGTTAGCCGTTGGCCATCGCTTGTAGCCCTGAGCTAGGGAACCCTGCCAGGTGGTACCAGCCGGGTCAGGTCAGGCTGGACCTGTAAGCTGGTGGAGGGAAGGGACGCTTTAATTCCCTATTCATGTCCTGTCGGAGCATGCCACTTGAAGTTGTAGCCCATATAAAAGTGGTTTTTCGCTCTGGCAGTTAAATGCTCTTGTGCAACTGTCATGCTTAGCGACAGTTGTCTTGAGAAATTGACTGTGTTTTGTATTTTCATGCAGTACGACATTAGGCCGGTTCTTTGAATTATAGTCGCAAAGCGTGCTGGTTAGGCAAAAGCTTTTAAGGGTAAATGTTACCAACCATTCAAGTTGGTAGCTCGTGAGCTCCAGATATGCACCACGAAATTGTTGTCTAGAGATTGGTTGATTCTATCGCTTGATTATGCTAGATCTTGGGTAAAATAACAAAAATTCAGCTTCATAGCAAGATATTAGATGGGCAAGGTTGTGACTTACACATGTTCCTCTTGACTTTGCTCGTAGGGGTAGTTAGGACTTTGCATTGCCAATATTTAAGGCGCTTTCTCAATATTTCTCCTACATTCTCTACATTTCCCTTATCATTCTATATATTTTCTAACTTTCCTCCAATTGAAAGACTTTTACTTTAATTTCAGCATCAAGCATACATTCGGAATATTTTCGCAGTTTCAAAGCACTTTAAAAACTTACATAGTACTATCATAATTTACCATGTGAAAGCCATGTTTTTTGCTTCGGAATGTTTTCTTTGAATCAAAAATTGCAGATAAAACAATTTCAATAGCAAGGGAAAATTACTGAGGATCTGTGACCGCATTGGGAGGCCTTTGTTTCGACACTTTTTTCGAAATTGGATCCTTGGCGTAAATTCTATTGCTAATATTATGACAAGCCACTCTGTTTCTTAAAGTGGAAATCAAAATGAGCATTTAACCCGTGTTGAGTCGAAGCCAGCTATATCACAGAACAGAATAAAAATTTCTTATGTCTATATGAGCCACTGTGGAGGCGTTCCTGGCATTTTCAAGAAGCTCCCCTATTTCGTTTTGATCTTCTTTATTTTCTTGTCGAAACAAGTCAAGAAAAGTCCCCCTAATTTGCATCCCCGGCAACCTCCCCTTACTATAACACCATAGATTAACATAATTTCATTATTTAAGCACTGGATTCGAGTTATCTTATGTGTTTCACAAAAAAGTTATTTATAAGAAGTTGTACTCAGCTTCGGTAAAGTTAACAAAATCGAGTAATAGACAAATTTAATAATATTCCTAGCACAGATTATCGAAATCGTACTTTCTCAAAGAACAAAGAACGAATTAATACAAGAGGAATTTTAAAAAAAAAGTAAAATGGCTAGGAAGTGGCTACCTGGAACAGAAGAGCAAGGGCAAGAAGATCTTTTTTAACAGTCCTTCTAATTATATATAATATATAATAATTATGTAAATAGCAAAAGTATCAAATAGAATAACGTGTATTTGCCTTGAATAGTTGCAAAAGCTGTTAAAATACAATGGTTCAGAAAATACCCTTACGATATAATTCATGCTCATTATAATAAACATAAGTCTTTGTCTCTTTGTCTAAATGACATCTTCCGAAAAAAGTAGTTCCTAAACTAATTCGCATACTGCCTGATATATGGCAGTCCAAAACGGCCTGGCTAAATAGCATATAGATCACAGGAACTTTAAATTATTTTGTCAGCGAATGTAATATATTTCAGGGATCCTAAACATTTTTCATAAAACAACAAGAAAACGAACTCAAAAATCCAGTCGAAAGCTCGCTTGTTCTTGAGTGACTTTGTAGCAGGGAAGTCAAAGAAGTAAAATACTAATGTTGTGTTTATCCTTAAAAGAAGATTCCACATGACATTGTCACTTGTAAAATCTAAAAAATTTTAACAATCCTTCGGGCTAAAAATTAACAAGCTTATATTTCAGATCTCCACCAGCTTTAAAAGCAAATTCTGCATTCTTCCTTGTGTTCAAGCCATATCTGAAGATGATGTTGTTTACATTTCGAAGAAACTCCAGCAAAATCAATGCCTGAGGAAAAAGGAAATAATATGTAGGGTCAGAAATGGTCTAAAGTTGTACACTGAAGTTAAATTCATTTCGATTGAAGCTGAATTGAAACAAAGGTTTTTGTAAACAATTAACCAATATCCATATACCAAATCAGCAGGGAAGTAAGGGTGAGTGGCTTATAATAAACAAGAGTATTTATGCAGTTATGGCTAATATCCCCCCCCCCTGGTGGACGGGGCTTCATCAGATTAAAGTAAACGGACTAAAAATGTACAAATCTGAAAGAGGCGCGGGGGGTCGACCGCCCCTGTTGCCTTTTGATAGGAGGGGAAAGGGGGGCCAAAGTGCCCTTTTCACAGAAGAGCCCTTGACGGCGACCTTTTGTAGGAAAGCCATGAGATTCATATGAAATTCTGACTGTTGTGCCTTATTTATTACAACATTTCTCGAAACTTGTGGAAAAATTTATTATGCCAAAATTTAGCCACTTTCAAGATACCGACAGAAGATCGAAACAAAATAATTGAAACAGATACGAAAGAATTGCTAGTAGCTGGGAATTATTTTTTTTCAAACGCCCTTTTACTCAAGCCCGTTTTGGCGTCCCTGGGTGTCGGATTGGTTGATGTGGAATGGTTTGAATGCAGTGCAGCGGAGAAGAAACAGGTAATGAGTTTGGAAAAGGGAAGGGTGGCGAGGAGAAGAGCGTGGGTGGTGGTGGTTGAATGAAAGTGTAATGAAGGTGGGTAGTGGTGATGATAATAGAAGGTTCTTATACCATTAAATAATAATAACGGGAATATAGAGAGTAATGATAATGATTATAAAATAATGATTTTTGGGTGGTAGACAAAGTATCGATGTGAGTGATGATGGTGTGTTGCTATAAGGTTAACGGTCAGTGGTTCGGTTCATGCCATTCGGTGCTAGAGTGTTTGCCAAGCCAATGAGGAATTGCTCTTTGGCTTGTCGAACACTCTCCCATTTGCCGTTAAGTATTTATTCACACATGAGTACTTATACCTAAACTAATCAATATTCAGCCCCAAATTAGCTTTGAAAGCACCCCTTTATTCACGAGTTGACTTTAGAAAGGGAACTGTGGATAGTGTTTGCATGAGATAGAGATTGTAAGGATGTTAGCAACTTCACAAGATGCATTGCGATGTTTTTTAAAATATAGCCCTGTCACTATCAGAGTTTTTCTAGGCCTACTGTCTTGAGATATTTATCAGAAAGTTAATCTCTATTGAAAATATTCTATACAACATGACCTTTCCAACCCACGGTTAAGTGGGACATTCAGTTCAGGGGAGGCGAATATCTGGCTTAAAACAAATTTCTAAGTTAGTCAGACTAACATAAAGAGTCCAACCAATCTAGATTTTAAGCGTAGAATCGATTGTGGTGTTTTTCTTGTTTCATAATGTTATTGAAACTTTACAGCTTATACTGCTGGATAACATTAAATGCATTATCAAGTGCGTTTCATGTTTACAGCAAGTTAACATTTACTTCAAAACAACAGTTATATAAGTCACTCCCAGAGCAGACAAAAGCAATATGATTTACCAAAAAATACAGGAAAAATAATAAGAGCGTTTCAAAATAATTGTCTCTAAAATTTTTGGTATTTTTAAGCAAAGTTTTTTCTGGGTTACCAAAAGGTAAAGCTTATTTTAAGTTAGTGGGATCTCATGATTGCACATTAAAATAGTTAAACCTCAATACAGCTAACATCTGATTAGCCAATCATTGTTCAATGTAGGGAGAGGTCTGTCTTCTCAATTCATCGATAATTCATCGAAGTTTACCAAGTGTCAAATACGACAAACACTTCTAAAGGAAACTTTCTTGCAATGTATGACATTTTTCTAAAACAGAACCCACCTTAGTGTTCCATCTTTTAAGGGGGCATTGGAATCCCCCGTGGGTCAGTCATTGTTGTTGGGGTTTCCTGAAGGTTTTTCATTAACTGAGCCATCCATCTCTTGGTCGAGTGGTCATCTTTCAAGCACAGTGCGAAAGTGTTGTCTTTTAGTTGATCTGGAAGACACTGACGCAGTGCTTCTCTTGCCCTATTTATAAACAAAAAAATGTAAAATTTTGAACCGCAGAATCATGATTAACAGATGTGAATGTGAATAGAACAAGACCAAGCTAAATAAATACTGGTTCTTGATATAAATTCCAGGGAGTTAATTTGAAACAATATGGTAAGTTGTGAATGATTAACAATTTTTAAACTATGCTGAATCAAATACCTCGCATTGTCTGACAATCGTAAGTAGCATCTGACGACATGTTTAAGTAGCCTTGGAGACGGCTCTTTCACCAGAGCCAATACCATTTTACCCTTTGATGGAAAATTAACAGCTTTGAATTAATGTTATAATAAAAATTATATTTGATGTAAATTAAGTAAGGAGGCAGTCTGAAAAAAGCATTGACAATAGACTTAAAAAGAAAATTTCACGATAAAAAAGACTTTGAAGAAATAGGAGTTTAAAAACTTGGCAATTAGGTACGTATTGCATAATACCTTTCAGAGTATTCTTGACAGACAAACAAGTGTGTTTTATCTGTCTTTAGTCTTTTAAAATGAAATATCTGAAACTCGAACCGTTCATTAATGGTAATTAGGCGTGCCTTTACATGCAGTCAATTGCTTTTCATGTGATCATTGTAGTTTCATGTGATCACAGCATAAATTGGCTACTTTTGACAAATCTTATTTTCAGGATTAATACTAGGTAGCTTCAAATGATCAGTCTCAGGTCCACCAATAGCCTTGCAGCACAAAAAACCACGACCTGGCGTATTTTGGTGCACCCTTTCCTGTTATCACGACTCAATGACAAATCTCGTTACAGTAATACGAAACCATCGTCCACATTACATTTTGATAACAAGCTTGCACCCTTTCTTCAAAGTTAGTCACATGGAAAATACACTGAAATGTTATTCAAATGTACCTGCTGTGGCACAATTAGGATATAGGGATTGGAGAGAGAAGGCAGTAATATATTTTTAGTCTTAGTATAAACAGCCGAATATTGACGGGACAAGACAACGATGACATTAAGGTCCACGTTTGAAAACTGATACATCTGCTGTATTGATATATGAATATGCCCAAACTTTGATAATAGGTAGAGGTAGGTCTTGTGAATACATGCTACCCGCCATATATCTATAAATTTGGCTTTGGATATAACTCTGTGATTAAAACGTTCGCAGATAAGGAGTTAAACAACGGCATCTAGATCTCCTTCGGATTTGCTGATCTCTTTAATTTCGAATCTTCCCTTTATGGAGGGGATGAGGAAAGAGTTGAAATCTTTTTCAGGTTCTGCTCTCTCTTTCTCTCATCTGTCTTCCTCCACCATAACAGTAGAGGTGGCACAAAGGCTAGGAACTGGAGAGCCGAGAAGGGATAGTAGGTCATCACAAAGCCATCTTAATGCAATTGCTGTGAAAATTTAAATGCAGTGTCCGATCAGTGCTTACTTACCAAAATCATTGCAACATGGGAAAATCTTTCATATGTTTGACAGATGTATCCTAAACCCGTTTCATCGAGTAGAATCTTTTGCAGAATAAACGTTGCAACCTTTAAAGAAAGAGTACTAAAGTGAAAAGTCAAAATAGAACCTTTGGAAACCATATAAATTTAAATGATTAATAAATGGTGAAAAACAAGTGATTCTGACATTGGAAAACATCTCTTAGATAGCCCAGATTGTGTCAAAGTCTATAATGGCGACATTTTTCAGATAATTGGCACAGTCAGTTCATCTTTTTATTTAGCAGTTTTGGAATCGATATACACAAAAACGAAAAAGCAGTTATTATGTAGACAGAAAGAGCCGCTGTTCATTTGTGAACCGTCCAAAACAAATATCTTTTACCATTACTGGCAATCTCCGAATAATCGAATTCTGTGAATAAATTTCAAATGAAAATTCTGGGCTCTAAGTATAGACAGCCGTTTGAAATTCCTGAAAACTTGAAGGAGTAGTCGCAAGGAGTGGGATGCTATATTATCGGACAGATAACTAAAAACATGGAATGTTCTTTCCTTTATACAGGACATTGGTTCAAACTAGGTACCTGCTGGTGTAGAAGTTCCCCTATGAATTACACAATTCATGTCACACACAATGAAAATATCATTGTATAAACATTGCAAAGGCTTAAAAAAGAGTAACTTAGATGATGAAATAATTATAACCATCGCAGTTTAGTGTCTGTAAGGAACAACACAATGAGAGCAAAAGGACTGGGAAAGACAATAATGCTAGAAAAGTCGAAAGAGACGAAAAAAGAGGCAGACAAGGCACAAGGTTGATTGAGAGCATCATTGAGCCAACACAAAGGGACAGAAATCGTTTGAGAAAACTGAATCGGAGCCGATTTAATAAAATAAGCAGAAGTCGGTTAGGAATCGATGCTAACCAAAACTAATACAGAGTTAAAAATATTTAAAAAATCAAAATCGTGTCCATTGTACTTACGGTTTTAGACAATTCACTACCAGATTCCATTATTCTTAAACAGAGCGGGATTATTTCGGTTGATAGAAGAAAGGTAATCACCTCTGGGTCATCAGTCTACACAAATGACAAAGAGCAGGCTTGTTGATACAAGGTCGTTAAACAAGGAAACACGCATTGAGATTTCAGATGAGATTAACGCTTTCACTTTATAGATTTTTTGGCTGTATCATAAATTCTAACAGGTGATAAAATGTTTCCATATGTTAAATTTAACAAATGTCCTAAAACCACTAAATAATATACTGTGAGAATTTATTCAAGAGCATAAGAATAGTAGCCTCAACTTTGCCTAAAAACAAACAAAAGATCGCTTGAGAAAAGCAGTAGTGGGCCAATGTAAGATCCTGGGTGCAGCCCAATTCATACTTCAAGTTACTTCATTGAAGTCAATGCATTGGCGGTAGTATGTACAGATTTTGAAAAAAGGGGGAAACTTTATCTTCCAACTTTATGTTTTTACTGACGAGAAACAAAATTCTCAATGCGACTCTGCAAAGAGTTCTCTGACCTGCTCTATTTTGCACTGTTGTCAAGGATGCTGGGTTGACATTTGAAATGCAAAATGACCCATAGAAACATCATATGCAATGAAAGTGGCCATTGAAACACTATGTCGTATGTTTGAAAGGTTTTCTACTTGGGCAAGATCATATTCAAAATTTATTAGTACTGATGAGCTGGACCCCTTACTGATACAAATAAAATTGTTCCAACATTAATGGCAATTGATCTTATTCACAGTCAAAAACCTTCTCTCGGCTTGATGGTTCCCTTGACATTCTTACATCAAAATATTTTTGCAATGTTTCGACCTCGGTCTACAGCTTCAAACTGGGCTTCTTAATTCATACCCTAACCTCCTAATAAAAGGTCACACTTTTAGTGATCGAAAAAGTAAAAGAGCTGAAGACATTAAATTTTTCAAATGTCTGCTTAAATAATATGGCCTTTATCTAACCTTAAGCAAACGGCAGATTAATATTTAAAGAAGAAATATAAGTGGGCAAATGCATGAGCTTGGATAAGGCGATACACCAAGCAGTCAATGGAAGTCACGCTACGTTCACACATTCCATTCTATTTCTATTCAAAGAAAAAAAGAGTAACTTTACCTTTACTAGAGCACCTACAACACCAAGACTTGTAAGTCGCAAATATTCAAATGATCGTGTCTTGCTTACTGTGTGTAGAAATGGGTATAGGAAGAGCGGAATCTGAGCTAAAAAGGAATTTACAAGCATCAACGTTAGAATATATAAATTAACAGGAAATTGGCAGGAAACTTTTAATCGGGATAACAACAACAATCGATAATTAAACATCCCCAGTGCTTGGACTGTGCCCGGACATATACCGAAGGGAAATATCTTTGTCAGAAAGACACACTGTAGAGGGAAAAATTGAAGCCAAGGACACGAGCAGTTTATGCGAAAGCCTATTACAAATAAATATACAGTAGAGTAGGAATACGACCTGCGAGCCGCATTTGGACCTTTAGACGTGGCTTTTGACAAAATCTTGTGCGAGTACTATTTCATCTATTCTTGTTCTTCAATCTTCTATTGAAGCAGTAGACTCTAATTTGAACATGGACATCATACTACCCGCGTATAGCCTTAAGTATGAATATAATTCTCTCAATGGGATTATGATAACAATGCTGGCGATGATAGCCTTATGTTTGTCCAATTTAAAAACATAATTATCAAGTCTGCAGCATACCTTGGAGAAATGGTGATCTTGTCTCGGGATGTGACGCAACACATTGCAGTAGCGCAAGTGCATTGCAAACCCGGTTTGATTGATGTGCCTGAGAAACGAGGATTCAACAGTGTTATTGAACAATCAAGTTTATGAAAGGTGCTTCTTTTCCATCATTAAAAAACTTATTATCCACAAATACTAAGATTGAGAGGCCTCTTTCGGCGGATTCTAAAGTATATTATGCCTCTTTTTCTTTTACAGTTGAATCCCATTTAGTCGTACCCCGTAAAACTCCGGACTTTTACAGAGTCAGACTGATTTTCAATTCCCAGTAAGATTCTATCTTACTTAAGTCAAAAGTCGTACCACAGATAAGTCGGAAAATCGCTAGGTCGGACCAATTATCCCACTTGAAGGTCCGACTTAATGAAATTCAACGGTAATAAGAAACCCGTTGTCAACAGATACTAAGATTGAGAGGCATCTTTAAGCCAAAACTGATTGTGCGATGACAAAAAGCCTTTAAAAACATCATTTGTTCTAAAACATTATTTTCAGTAGATACAGAAAATCAGTCAACTATGGTGCATTGACAGGTATGTCAGAAACACATAAAAATGTAAACAACAGCAAAAAGAATAAATGTACAAAAATACTTTTATTCTTGAACAAGAATGTGTCAGGTTTCTTGAATTCTCTTGATAATAACTGAAGAAACATCTTTCTTATGAATCTATATTTAATTTCTATTTCAAACTCTATGATTGTTGAATTTCATGGCCCTCTTCTTGATTAGTTTTATTTGCAAAAACTTTTTTTTTCTAAGAAATAATTCCACATTGGCACTTAAACATCTCGCAATTGTATGCTGAATTATTTCAAAATAATAGGCAGTGAACTGAGGATATACATGAGTATAACAAGCATTCAGTCTTTAGTTGGAAATTTTGATAATCATTAGCACGGGCCACCCCCTGCTCCCCCAGGTATCCCCCACTGATCATTAGCTTAGGACTTCTGTAAAGCATACTTCAAATATTACATTCAGCTATTGCTCATAAATTAAGCAAAGAAAATTTCTGGCACTTACATTTAGGTTTGGTGGATTAATCATCGGATATATGTTTACAATTTCTTGCAGCAATGCAGCAATGGTACCTGCATTTGGAAAATATATCAAATTAAACATACTTTTAAAACATTTAGCATTTTAAAGCAACTTTATATCTCAATAACCTAGTTGGTACCATCTAATTTGAAAAACACTATTTGTTCTTCTACAGAGACAATGATTTTGATAGGAAAAGAAGTACACATGAGTCTTAAAGACTTGACAGTTTCTTTAAGCAATAATTTCAATGCAGCATTAAAGGGGCCTCATTTGTATCATCTACCAATACGGAATGTGTGTACCAATTGGTCTAGCTCAATGAATAGGCTTCATTTTAAAACCAGTAAGGTAAGGATTTTGGTGTTTTTTTCCCATTTCTTTGAACTGCTCAATGCAAGTTGTTGTGTCCTTGACATATAACTTGTCTTTCCTTTTTGGTATCGCCCATCCTACATCAAATGAATTATGGTGATGAGACTACTGAAAAAAAGCCTTTATTATTCGTTTCATTTCATAAAACATATCAAAATGTGAATGCAGTTACAAAAATTGTATTCCATTTTGATTTTTCTATTGAACACTAGTTGTTTTACTCAAAATAATGGGAACTTCCAGAAGGTGAGATGCAAACCATCAACCAAAAATATACAAGAAGATTCCAATCTGCCACATCTGCACCAGAGGTATTTTTTACACATACAGGTAGATTGGTATTTTCTTTTCAAGTGTATATTTGTACTGATGCTAGGTATTTTTAACAAAATAATTGAAGAATGATATGTTACATTTGAATTGCCGCCAGTTTGGTACACCTTAAAAAACTCAATGCTTTTCATGTTCATCAAATAAGCCCCACAACACTAAACTTATGCAGGCCTTGCTCTAACTAAAATGAAGGTGCTCCATAAAAAGAGCCCCTTAGAAACTCTAGGCGCTCTATTTCGCACCTCTAAGTAAATTTCCTTGAGAGCATCCTTCGAGAGCTTTAGGAGATCGAGAGCTTCATATTGAAAGCTTCGGAAGAATGTTAAATATGAAATTCAACGGTGATACCAGAAAGCACCATAATATGAAATAACAAAACATGCAACAAACACTATGTTAATATAAATATAGAAATATAATAAAACAAAGTCGCAAAATTGTTCAGATTTTTCTAGATATGTAAGTTGGCATCATTCGATGAGCTTTTATCAGTGTCAGAAAAACTACTGTTATGTTCAGTTTCACATATTGCTTCATCAAAGCGAATGGCTTTAAATCGAACATTTAACTTTGTTTCCTTTTTTCATGTTATCCATTTTATAAGAAACGCTAGAACATCTACTACTCGCAAAAGCAAATTAAAAATGAAAAGCAATGCGATAATTTGGACGGAAACGTGATCGCTGATTTGCACAGGCGCTTTTAAGTTATATAATATATAAATAATATATACCTCAATAGAAGGTTAACGCTTGCTCGAAAATCAAATAAATCTGCCGGAGAATACGCTTGATGGCCTGTGTCCTCGATGGTTATTAGAGGGTTATTAGAAAAAAAATGATATTGAAAACCCAACGTTGAATTTGCTTAATTTTTTCTCAAGGGGTAATCTTACGCAAATCATAATATTGCGGTCTGTTGGGAAGATTGTTTATGCTTGATCAAGTTGATTCAACAAAATCCAAAAATTTATTTTGCTCCGTGTTAATATTGTTTTTACGTTTTGAGGGGCTCTATAAATCGCTCTCCAAGGCTTTTTTCGGGTGCGCTCTAGGCGCGCGCGCTCGATCGAGCGCCTTTCCGGGCAAGGCCTGCTTATGGTAACTTTTTTAAAGGGAAAGAATCAGACATCCTGCATTACTGACACAAATAATACTTAGAATACAACCACATTTTATATATATAATTATGAAGAAAAATATAGGCTTATACAATCAATTAATTTCTAAATACAATCAACTTATGAAAACCAAAAAGGAAAAACAAAATTACCAAAAGAGTGCCACAGCATAGGTGCAAGATCTGATACAACTTCTCTCTTCTTGCTAGCGAAATATAAAGCAACAATTTGCGGTTACATTTCCACATTGGACTTGGAAATAGTTAGTATTTTATGACAAACTATATTAACAAAAATGACAAAAAATTTAGAAAGCACCCAGGCCTAAAAAAGCACCACCTTTGAAAAACACACCTTTCAAAAAGGTGCATTTTCGAAGCCATAAAAATACAGTAAATGATTATTTTCACCTCAGCTCTACAAGTGCATGTTCTCTTGTTTTCATACTGGACAGCTCAAGAATCCAGTTATAAACTTTCTCCCTTTCTGCAAGTGATAACTGAGTAGATGGTTGGGCATTTTGGGGTGGCTGTCCAAATCTCTAAAGAACAAAATAAAGTAACCTTTAATAGATAATTAAGTTAAACATGAAGGCTCAGGAGTTCAACATTGTAGCTACCGAATATGTTTTCATAACTGAAGTTGAGTGTCACTATATTAATTGAGGAATTTACATATTACTATTTACTTTTATAATTAGAATTTAATTATGTATTCAAGGATAGATCTTTGGTGGTTTACTCAAATCATCAAGTTCACTAGAGTCGGACACCGTAGATGAAGTAAAAGGTTGAAAATTAAATTAACAATGTCTGTCCTCTACGGCTGCCCTCTCTTCCGGAGTCGGTCAATTTTTGTTACCAAATTGCATACAAAGTAGACGCAGGTAGTTAGTAAACTTATAGGTTCCAAACACTTTGAATATGGCTTCTTTTAACAAACTTCTACTATAGATGACACCACCGACCAACGGAATGAATAAAAATTCCTCTGGTGGCTCTCATTTTGAAAACGTCTCATTAAGACCCTCGTAGTGCGCAAATGAAGGGTTAGCTAAACTCATAGGAGGCTGCTTGCGCGTGATCATTGGCTCACAGATTAGATACAAAATAGATGAAAATATCTAATAAATCAGCTTAAAGCTGGCTTTTGGAAAACCAAGCTTTTATAGAACACATGTTCGATGGGAAGAAAAGCTTCACAGCTACGTTTCCATTCCGGACTCTATTGCAAGATTGCTTTCTTTTGTAGACTTTGGTGAGGGAGACGAACAGTTTATGGAATCGCAACTCATCAAACTCCTTTGCTACATAATGTTTATGGTTGGTGTCATTGTTTTTGCCATTCTCAGCTTTATCCCAGCAGTTTATGGACGGTATGCTGGTCCGAAAAGTTGGTTTGGGTTGGGTGTTAATGCCAACGTAGCATGGTTTTTCCAAGAATCACCGTCTTTTTTCATCCCAGTTGTTTTTTGGCTTCTTGAATTTTGGAGAACCGGGACTTTGGACCTTACTCAAACTGCTTTAGCTTCAATGTTTGTTTTCCATTACTGGCAGAGGTTCGTATGGCAGCTAAATTTATTCCGATCATGCCTTTTAAAGGGAGTTATGCTGAAAAATCATTAATGAATGATGTTATATTTTATCAGAAGTAATATTTGCAATTTAAACCTGAACATTTATTCACCAAAAAGCTATATACGATGTCTGTTCTGTACCTGCGACGCAGTAAGTGATAGGAACCAAGCATTGCCTTTTTCAAATAAAATACTTTTTTTATTTTCTTCAAACAGCAACTTACATTTTTAGTGTTGGAGAGATTTTTCAGAAGAATTATAATCCAATTTGGCCATGTTTAAATAATGAATACTGTGAAGAAAAATATGATTGAGTCTATTTAATTTACCAGATACCAGATAGTTTATTTAATTCAACTTGCACATATACTTTAGACAATTGATCTAATCACGAGTACATCTGAGCCACCTCATAGACTAGAACATTCAAATCTTCCTGAAATCCAGTGATAATGTTTTGGGGACGAGGACCAAGGAGCATAACATTTAAAACAAAACTGTGCTTATGGAAGTCTTTTTGCTAGCAATGTAGCAGTTGTTGCACCCAAATATTTCTGTAGACATAAAGGCATCGAGTCATGGTGAATAGGCCTGCCCTGAAAATGGGTCATTTGGCTTTGACATGATCCCTGCAGTTTTATGTGATATTGGCATCTGTTTTTGACAACTTGCGATTGATGGAAACTGTTTGGTTAGTCAGTGTGAGGTGGGTTCATGTGACCAGTTCAAGGTCAACCAATAGCATTGCAGCAAGAAAATCATGACTCAGCAGGTTTGGCAATGATTGGGTATACCCTCTCATTCTATCACGAGTCAATGCCTTTCAGGGTTAGATAAAGATCTCTAGTTATTGTGGTTTAGGGAAAAGGTGAACACAATTTCTCCTCTTTATTGCTGTTGAATTTTCAGATGTTCATAGAGATTTGATGATCCAATAATATCAAATGTATACATTGCCACTAGTTGCTGATTGAAATTTTAATTTGGGTTTAACATTTTTCCTCTCCTGCCTATCCTCAAATATATTTTTATTGCATTTTTTAGAATTTTCAATTTGAAACAATCATCTTTTCCTTTATTTGAATACATGCAGAATTTTGAAGTTTTTGCAAGGATTATACCCTGAAATTTCTAAAAAACATCTCAACCTCTCAATTTTTAATGTTTTTATGATAAATGTATATTTTCACATTTTTACCCTTTTTTATGTTTACCTCTAGGACTTTTTTGTATTCAGTTCTAATCAGAGGAGGCAAGGCAACTCCTATTGGCATTTGTGCACTTGCTTTTACTTTTTGTACAGTCAATGGCTACATTCAGATAAGAAGCATACAACTGAAGCAATTTGAAGACAAGTGGCAAAAAAAGCCATCTGTATTACTGGGCATCATTAGCTACCTCTGTGGCCTAGCCATCAATATGCATTCAGATTATATTCTAAGAAACCTCAGAGCACCTGGAGAAACTGGGTACAAGATCCCCAAGGGTAGGTAAACCTGATGTGCTTGATAACTTTTTAGAAATCTAGCAATGATTGGGTTGAATAAACAGGATAACCAATAAACCAGCAATATAAAATATCTTTGATCAAGCTTCTTTTTTTATAAAATACTATGTTAGCTTTTAGAAGATTGACAGATGCATTTACAAATAGCATAAAATTTCTGTGAATGAAATTTTCCTCTGGCTTTTCCTAATTTGTTCCCACAGTTCTCATACATCTGCAATTATTTCAGGTGGGATGTTTGCTTATGTCACTGCAGCAAACTATTTTGGTGAAGCTCTTGAATGGCTTGGTTTTTTCTTGGCAGTACAAACTCTGGCTGCAGCAGCATTCTCATTTTTCACTTTTGCTAACTTATTTCCCAGAGCTGTAATGCATCACAGGTTAGTTTTATTCATTCAATTCAATTCTGTTGATATTTGCATAAAATGTTGGTGTAATGGCTCTGAATAAATGTAAATTAAGGTGACGACAATAACCAGTATCAATTTATGTGATGTTTTCTTTTAAGGTTAAACTAAGTGGTTATCATTCCTTTACCCTTGTTTGATTAATATGTTTCTAAATGCGCATTTAATGCTTTAAGGAATTCCTCTATTTTTTGCTTAAAAAAGATAGGAGTTCTTGGCGAGTTATTGCTTGTCAACAATTATTTTCCATGAAAAACTACTTCTACTGTCAGTCCACTCAATTAAATAATCTTTAAAAGTTTTTTTTAAATCTTCAGCAATCCTCCAAGAAGTATGATTTATCTTTATTTGTTATACCAATTTTCAATTATCGAATTAGCCCCCTGGGGGCTTATTTATTTTTGATATTTTTGGATGGGGGCTTATACAAGGGGGGCTTATAAAATTATTGTAGACATTAACAAGACATTATTTAAAGACGTTGTTAATTTTAGTAGGAATTCTTTTACGAGCTTTTAATCAATAAAACACCATAGGCAACCTGAGGCGGTAAAAATCATCAAAGTGAGGGGTCCAATTTGAGCATTTACAGTAGCAGTGGGGGCTTATTCGAGGGGGGGGCTTATTGACAATTTGTAGTTTTAGGGTGGGGGCTTATTTAAAGGGGGGCTTTTTTGAGGGGGACAATTTGAGGATTTACGGTAATTATAGTTACGATTCCTAGAATTATTTTTTAATGTTAATAGAGGGTGTCTTTTACTATAACATTATTATCGTTTTGGGCAATTCTGTGTGTACCCTAAACAGTCTATGTTAAAGTTGTAAATGTTGGGAAGTTTACTGTAACTGGATGTTGGGAAAGTCTTTCATCAAATCATCAATAATGTCTTTTAACATTTGAAAAACAAGAATGAAGACAATGATGTGCTAAAATATTGTTAAAAGTTTGTACTGATTTAAGTTCATAGGAAATAAAGTAACTTCTTGGACAGCCAATTTTTATTACTATTTATCACTGACTGAAAAATTTTGAATTTTTTTCTAGGTGGTATCAACAGAAATATGAAGACTACCCAAAGAACCGAAAAATAATGATTCCATTTATTCTTTAAAGGGCATATGTCATGTTAGCAGTTTCCTAATACAACAAAAACATTAGGAGGATTTTGGTGTTTTGTAACTTTTTATTTCTGATTTCATGAATTTTTACTGTCATGAAAATTCAACCTTGATTCCATGCTTTGTACTGAACAAACAGTATATTTGTATTGCATTAGCCAATCAGTCTCACGACACATGCCCTTTAAATTAAGCCAAAATCATAGTAAATTGCATTAAAGAAGCACATTAAATGTGCACACATTTTTTGAAAATTTTTAAACTTGAAATACAACAAAAACATTAGGAGGATTTCGGTGTTTTGTAAATTTTTATTTCTGATTTCATGAATTTTTACTGTCATGAAAATTCAACCTTGATTCCATGCTTTGTACTGAACAAACAGTATATTTGTATTGCATTAGCCAATCAGTCTCACGACACATGCCCTTTAAATTAAGCCAAAATCATAGTAAATTGCATTAAAGAAGCACATTAAATGTGCACACATTTTTTGAAAATTTTTAAACTTGAAATACAACAAAAACATTAGGAGGATTTCGGTGTTTTGTAAATTTTTATTTCTGATTTCATGAATTTTTACTGTCATGAAAATTCAACCTTGATTCCATGCTTTGTACTGAACAAACAGTATATTTGTATTGCATTAGCCAATCAGTCTCACGACACATGCCCTTTAAATTAAGCCAAAATCATAGTAAATTGCATTAAAGAAGCACATTAAATGTGCACACATTTTTTGAAAATTTTTAAACTTGAAATAAGAGTTATTACTAGAAATAGCTCTTGCTAGTACTGCCCGCAAACAATTAGTTCCTTGATAATGATTGTTTTGAAAATGTAGGTCAGGATATTCGAAGAAGACACCATCTTGGGTTTTCACAATTCTATAAAAACAGCTGCTCTAGTTGATGCTAAACTATTCTTTTTATCAAGAATTTTTGGTGTTCAGTTTGCCTTTGATTTAAGTCCAACGCCCTTTTGAAAATCATGAAGTTTTTCGAGGGTTTGACATTTATTTTTCGATAATCACGAAAATCATAACTTTTGCTCGTACGGTCTCGAGTTTTTGGGAGAAAAGTGTGGCATTCGACTGGTTTTGATTCCCAAAACTTCGAATCAAAACTTCCATCCATTGCGGAGAACAGAGCTGTGATGCAGCACCGTTTTCGTGCCAAAAAACCGAAGGCCTTTAACAGAGTCTTGGCAGAGCATACCCTGGGTACCAGACTCAATATATAGTGAGTCTGGTACCCAGGGTAGGCAGAGCAACGCTCCGAAGATAATTCCCTTCCGCACAAAGAGGTGGCGGTTAACGACCTCGACAAAGCCGATTGATTGACAATGAAATTGATTGACAGTTGTCATGGCAGCAGAAAAGTGACAAAATCTGCTGAAAAAGTGCTGACAACATGAACTGAAGCTTCCATATGCTACTTATACGCGGGGCAGACTATAAGCCCTTCACTCGCGCGCTATCGCGCGCGAGTTGCGGGCAAAAATACCATAAGGAGATTAATGTAAAATTTGTTTAGCTTGTATTAGCCAATATTTGACAAAATAGACAAATATTATAGTAATAATATTCATTATAATAGATCTAGATGTAAAGACTGTCAGTTTATTAATTTATTTTGAACAATTCTCTCTAGTACTCTATCTTCTTATCATCATTGGCATTTAGCAATCTGCTTAAAGGTATTGAGTCATGATAAAAGGCAATAAAGTATACCCAAATGATTTTTGTGCCTCAATGCTATTGGTTGACCTGGAACTGGTCACATGAACTCACCTCGTGGTGATTAACAAAACAGTTTGCATCAATAGCAAGTTTTCAACAATGGGTGGCGATATCACATGAACCAACAGTGATAACGCTGAAACCAAATAACCCCCTATAGAAAGGTCTATTTACCATGACTCAATGCATTTAACTTTATGTTTTTCAAAGAATCAAGATTGAGCTAAGTTTCAAATTCATTCTTTGCCAATAGAATGAATTAAGTTGTCAAGTGATAAGCAAATTGTTTGTTTTAAATAAAATGGAGATTACATGAATTATAAAGAAACCATCAACAACAAAAGTTTTCATGAAACCATTGGAAATACAATGATAGACATTATCTACTGTGTTGAAAATAATAGCATCAAATCTTTAGTAATTGATCCAAAAGGACGTCTTATCAGTTACATCTTTTTTATGTACTAATAAAATCACTTTTTCAATCTACCCTGCCATTTACTGTGTTCAATCTGTGTTTGAGTAACAGTTATCCATAACCACAAGAAAAATAACAGGTCTAAAGTTAGATAGATAAGTCTCTTTAAATAGATATTTAAGTTTCTGCCACTTCTTTACTTTTTCATTTTATCCAATGATTTGAAGCATACTCAGAAAAGATAAGCAACATTTTACCAGAAAAGGCAAACAAATCTGAGAGACATAGCCACATGAATTTAATAACCTCTCTAATATTCTGAAATTCTCATTTGAAAATGTGATGCCAATTACTTCTAGAGTTGGAACTTCTAGACAACTATTTGACATGTGAGTAATTTAACAGTAACGGGTTTAGAGAATTTGGTTAGAATGAATTGGAATATTGTGAAGAGATAATGGGATAATAAAAGAGGAGCAACAACGAGGAAAATGGGTGGAAATCAAATGTCAAAGATCTTGGGAGAATTTGCAGACTTATGTACTAGTCTTTTTGAGAGACATGGTGCCCCATGCTATAGCTCTATGATTGCAATGGTATGGTAATCAATCATTCTCATGCTTCATTTTCAGGTGACTTGGACATAGAATTAAGGTGTGAAAATTTAACATTAGAAGAGGGATCTTACAACACCATTTAAGCACCCATATCATCTTGATTGCTTAAGCAATTCAGTCAGACTTGCCGGTGCAACTTGGAAACAGTAGTAAATAACCTTAGAGAAAAAAAACTGCCCAAGATATTTCTGGGCATTTATCTTTTGCCACAAAATTTCTAAAATTGGTCTTTTGCAAAAAATCAAAAGTTCAAGCCACCAAGATATATAATAAAGCTGTTTATCAGAGAATATATTATTTCTGTGAGTTTGAACTGAAAAATTAGCAAATATTTTTTTCCTTTAAGGTATATAGAACTAACTGTTATTGCAAAAGACATGGCCTACATGCATGGGGGCATCTTGACCCATTTCACTCTAAATGAATGCTACTGCATTTTAAAAGAATCAGGAACGTATATGGAAAATGGGGCAATTTTTATTGTTATCTGGTTATGCTTTAACCTGTATTTATCCCAACAGATAGTATGACAAAAACTGTCATGGAGACTGTGCAAAGTCTACTTTCGAGACATCCTTATTTTTTCTCACCCTTCTTCTTGTGCTTTCTATGCCAGCTTTTCCTGCTTCTGATCTAAGGGTTGCTTTTCTTTTTGGTGGAGAACCAAGTCTCTTGACCTTCTTAGGACTAACTTTATTGACGTTAGGACTATTTGATGTGCTTCTTGTATTTCTACTAAGTTTCTTTGGACTTGCAGATGTGCTTACTTTGCCTTTTTTCTTTTTTGGACTCTCTTCATTAGAGGACTGTCTCTGTGGTTGCTTGAGAAAAAGATTAAGAAAAACCTTGTGATTTAATTTTGAATGAGCCCAATCTTCTTTTCTATTGGAATAAAAGAACTCTACGAAATATATTGACCAGTAAATCTTGTCTTCCAGGAAAAATATATTTTTTTCTTCATTTGGAATGGTATTAGGAAAATGTTAGGCAAAACTTAGACAACTTTAAAAATTTCTGATTTTGTGACAAACCTTTGTCTCTGTTTGTTTCTTTCCTCTTGTCTTCTTTAAAACTACTGTTGGCTCTCCTTGCAAACTTGAATTTTCTTCATCAGCTTCTGACTTCCTTTTACCAACAGCACGCTAGAAAAGAGTCAGTTAGTTAAAAATTCATTATTAATACTCTGCGCCAAACTTAAATGTTGAAAGATAAACTGATATCAAACTGACATTTTCCCAGCTAAAATGATGCCTCTTAAATCAAGGCAAATCTTCTCAAATCAGTGAATACAAATGCCAGCACATTGGTGTAAATCATAAGTTCTATGGAAGGGTTAGCAGTGAATCAGTCCCAGACATTGTACTCTTTCCTATACAAACATAAATTTTTGCAAAACAACTACCAAAAATTTTGTAATCAATGTATGGAAATAAACAACAGCAATGCTCTTTGTGCAAGCTAGAAACAACACAAATGATATTTAGCTAAATCTTACAATACAAAGCCAATGAAAATATTCTTACATTTCTAAAAAATCACCCAGAGGAAAGTAAAGAAGGTATAAATGATGAAAATGTCAAAGTTAAATAATTGCCTATCAGGAAATGCACTGTTGCATTAGCAAAAGAAAAGATAAAATAAAAATGCAGATCAGCATTCAATTTTGAACAGAAGATGGAATCTATTGAATTCTATTGCTCAAAGAATTGTTTAAATATTACAAGGAAATTTTGTTCCTCAAAACAGCCAAGAGAAAAAACATTTCAAAGCTCCCCATATATCTGTTGCAGCCATTATTCCCACTTAATTATAACAAACTGGATAAGATAAATCTTGATTGGTTGTATTTGTGAGAATTTATAAACTATCTGTTTAGTTTAATGATATATAATGTTAACAATGAAGCAATATTGTTTTGTTTTAATAATTAAATTGTACTTTTCCCTCAAAAAAGGAAGATTTCTGTAAATTCTCTTCTTGTTTTTTTCAGACGAACCCTATTTTTGCAAAGGTGGTTAAAAGCATGCATCAATAATACAGCAATGGCGCTGGTGAGGGCAATACATCCCTTATTCTGATCCTGGCTTTTTTATTCTGATATATCTTACACCCATATGTTTGCCCCAGTGGTGGACACCTGGGGGATGAGGAGGTGGTCACCCCAACCCCCCAATATTTTGGATCACAATGCTTTTTTGCTCAAAAACAATGAGAAAATGTGACATCATCTTATCAAAACAAAAGGCATGCCCCCCCCCAATATTTGACCAAGTGTCCACCCCTGGTTTCGCCCTCTACAATACATCAGCTTCCTTATGAAAATCTGCCTCATTGCAATTTTGATTAGAATACCTTTTTCGTGCTTCCATTGGCAACTTTGAGATCAGGTGCTTTTTTCTCAGTGGAAGATTTTGCAAAATAAACGGATTTTCCATCATCGGCATGCCCAATGTTTTTCAAAGCATCACAAAACCATTTCTTTATTTTTGCATAGTCAGGTTTCTCTGTATAATCAATCTTGTTTATATATTTGAAAAACTCTTCAAGTTGTGCTACAATAAAGGAAGAGATAAGGAAAGGAAACCCAGTATGTAACAAAACACAAGATACTTAGACTTGGGCAAATCAGCAACAGGAACTTTCGTTTTAGGCAATATCAATATGCAAATCTGGGAAATCAAACCTGGTACTCCCGAAGATCCCAGAATTTTATTCAAAGAGCGTGGGATGTCTTTCATAAAGCTAAAATAAATAGATAAAGCATCAGTGCTGGATGCATTATGATGTAGCCTACATTACAGTCCAATTTTTGTGGTTCAGTTGAACAGTAATTTCAATGATAAAACAGAAGCTAAAATTCAACTGACTGAACAAGGATATTTGGGGTTCAGGAGCAGCACTTGGAAAAAGTGCAGCAAGCAAGTGCAAAACTGCAATCAATAAATCTTATGCAAAAATTATGAGCAATATGATTATCCTCTGGTTCTTGCATACCAGTCCTAAAATAGCATACAGAGGCAAAATAAAGTAGGATCTGATTACCGTCTTTTTCATCCGTCGATTCTAAAAGACTGAACACTCTAAGAACAGGCTGAACACCCCATGAACACCCCAAGAACACCCTAAGAACAAGCTACTAAGCGGCTGAACACCCTTTAAAACATATCAAAATCGGCATATCATTCGAAAAATAATTTGGTAAGTCAATCGAAATTAATCTTGGGGCGGGAAAGGGCCTGATAAGTCCAATGCTGTTGGTGTTGTTACAACCAACTGATGTTTTGCGCGCCAAAAGTGTGAACGGGGGTTTGTAGACGCGGAGCAAATTCGAGTTTGACTCCCTTTGTGCATTCAAGCAATTTCCCGTTGTTTTCAAATCTTTCACATCCAGTGACAATGTCACTTGACTACCTATTGTCCTCCAAACAATTGTTCTTCCCATCCGCTAATTTGCCCAAATGGTCACGGCATAGAATAGAAATTAACTATGATGTGGTCACGATATGCTAGTGCACGCTAGCTAGTTAGTGCAATCAGAAGGAGACACACACCTCCTCTCTTGTTGTGTTGTCATTCTCCAGGCAGTGACGTCACCAGCTGGTGCACTCGCAGGCACAATTCCTGGATAGGATTTTTATAAGGAATTTTTGTCAAATGAAACAGAAAATGCACAGTGTAGGACTTGTTAGTCGTCGGTTAAAGCACAATTTTAAGGGCTTTTGTCGGAAAATTTGCTTGTTTTTGTCGGTGTTGCGGTTCCTCTCAGCTCCCTAGGCAACTATATATTGTAAAAATATTAATTATATGGACTGTAAATAACTATATAATTATCTTATTGTTACAAATTTCTAACTAAGTTTCTGAATATAAAATGAATTGGAACTTGAATTTTGTTGCCAGGAACCATGGTAGCAGACGGGCTATAGGGGCTTTAGCCACACAACAATTTACAAACCCCCGCTCACACATTTGGCGCGCAAAACAACCGTTGGTTGTAACAACACCAACAGCATTGGACTTATCAGGCCCTTTCCTGCCCCAAAATTAATTTTGATTGATTGACCAAATTATTTTTCGAGAAATATGCCGATTTTGATATGTTTTAAAGGGCGTTCAGCCGCTTAATAGCTTGTTCTTAGGGTGTTCTTGGGGTGTTCATGGGGTGTTCAGACGCTTTTTCATCATATCAAATTGCGGTGTGGTATACAACATTATGCTGGTATCCTAATCTTGATCATTTAGCCTATTTTGTGCCTTTAAGCACAACTCTAAATCACCTACTTAATCCAAATCCTTGTTGCATAAACAGATTTTGAATGCGTTACAAATCAAAGCCCTTATAGAAAAATATGAATTACTGATACTGATACATAAACACTTACTTGTTTTTTTCTTGCATAACAAAATCCTTGTTATTTAGATTTGATTCCCAAGGCAAAGTACCAATAATCCACTGCAACATGCAATACCCCAGAATTTCCAGGTCTCCTCTTCGAGATGGAGCTGAGAAATCAAGGAAATTTTCATCCTCGGCAAATACAAAAATTTTGAGAAGATAAATACTTGAAAATAGCAAGCCTGTTACCAGGTCTACAGTATTTCACTATTTTAGTAATTCTTATTCTTCTGAAAACCATGAGTCTATGAAATTTTTACCATATAAACCAACATGCTAAAGCTTTGTATGCTCCAGCATGCTGCTATCTGTTACAAATCAATGTGTCAAACTTGGTATTTTTCGGGACTTTCATTCATCAAACATGATCAGGACTATGAGAAAGAATTTCAATTTTACCAAGTCCTCTGTGTGCATCACGGCTGGTGTACTCAACAGTACCATCATGCTTGCGTTTGGGATCTTCCTTGAAAGGTACATGTTTGCCGTTTGGGCAGTACCTGAATGCTAAGCCATAGTCAACTAGAAAGACCTAAAAAATAAAAGTTATTTTCTAGAATAAACTTGCCAGGTACCTTCAAGGTCATGAAAAGAATCATTGATAGAGGAGCTTAAATTAAAGGTTGGCTGAAAATATTTAAGCTACAATATGGTTCAACAAAGAAAGTTGTTAATAAATCGCAGAATGTAAAGTGACCAGAAATGATAACCCTGGATGAAAAAGCACATAGAAGTACATGTTACAAAGGACTAAAAGCAGGGGTGTCCAACTTATCTTGTCCAACTAAATATGCCCAATATCGGAAAGTATGCCTAATAATGAATCAAAAATGTTTTCAGGGGGATGGCACTCCACAGAAATAGCTCAAGGGCCAAATTACTAAAAAAATTGTTGACTTAATACAGGCCACAGAATATGCCCTAGCGAGCCTCATCTGGCCTGGAGGTCGTATGCTGGACACCCCTGACTTGCAACTTTTACAAAAAGTCATGCATTTTGTAATGGATTAAATAAGCAGCAAATTTATTTGCTTATGTGTAACTTCTGTTTAGATCATAAGCATTACCAGTTGTGAATTTTTCTTCCCAAAGCCCACAAGCATATTTGAGGCTTTGATATCGGCATGCACATAATCCTGTTCGTGCAGGTATTCTAGTGCATCAATCTATGAAAAAATCGTAAATATGAAAGAATCAAGCACAAAAATTATAAACACAATCCTATTTATAAAGAGAATTAAATATTTAACACACATAAAAGATCATATGAAAGAATCACAAATGCCATTAATTATAAAATCTGATAGACTAATTAGCCAACAGCAATATCGCATCTAAATATGCTTTCATAGTCGAAAGCTTAATCCAAGTGCATATCTAATCTATAAACAATAGAGTTCTTGAGTGATTATGTTACAAAAATCTAGTTTTAAAATTTTTAAACCTTGATTCCATTACCTGATAGAGCATCAAGAAATACTTCTAAATGTGTGAAATCAGTCAGATGTGTGACAAATATGAGATATGGCCACATGTGTATTCATAAGCAAACTTCAAATCTTTCATTGGCCACACCTCACCTGGTTTTAGACATATTTGACTGCTTTGCAATATTTGGAAGCATTTCATGGTTTTCTTTTAAGCTATGTGGTTAAAATTCAAAAATTCTAAAAATAGTTTTTTGCAACCTTACACTTAAGAACTCTATTAAAACATGCGAAGGAAATGTTATGGCGAATGACACTTCATTGGAAATACTACACCAACGAGCATTTTCACGATTACCTGGTCATTTGAGAAGGATACAAATTAACCTGTACATAAAAAGAAATTGCCTGGCAAGCAACACACACTTGGATTTGCCTTGCAAGTTTATGTGTCAGTGCCACTCTAGCTATGTAGGAAGCATAACCCAAAGATTAGGGAAAAGAATAAAACTGCATTGTCCAAATAGCTAGAGCAAGTTGAATTAGTTGTAAGATAATTTTCAGCTTGAAAAAATGCTGAAAATGGCTTAAAACAACATTGAATAAAAAGACCAAATTCTCTGTGATACACTGCTTCACACAAGATTCTTAATGGCATTGGAAGAGCTTTAACTTTCCACAAAATACAAGGCTATTGAGAATCATCTTGGTACTCAGACACCTGAATGTGATCTTGCCAATGTTTTTTTCCGAAACTGTCATGTGGTGTTTGGAAATACTCTCCCACATTGTTTGATTGAAGTTTAGCATAAATCACTTATCAAATTAGGGTTAGGGTTAGGGATAAACCTGGTTCTGATAACCAAGGTATGAATTAACCAAGGTGCAGATTACCAATGTTTGAATAACAGAGGTTTGCATAAACTGAGGTTTGGATAAATGAGGTAAAGATAACCTTGGTTAGGATAACTGGGGTTCAGGTAAACGAGGTACAAAAAACCAAGATATAGGTTTGCATAATCCAAATTTAGATAAAGAGGTACAGAAAACCAAGGTTTGGATGAAAATATATTCTGTGTATCTCTCTAGTGATAAAAAATGGGGTAAATTTAAAACAATTAAGTAACACTAAGTCTTACCATCCTTAATCCAAGACTGAAAACTGTTTGTAGTGGAAATTTCTTTGACGACTCAAGAAATAATTTTTCAACATCCTGGCCAAACCTATCCATGATCATAAATCTATACTTGCAGTCTCCAATCTCAAATGATCCAGAGCCAATGTATGTGGGCACTCCAAGATGTACCAACTTGTGAGATTTCATCCAAGAAGAAACTGAAATGTTTGACAGCAATGATTATCTAATGACTTCTCTGTCATAAAACAACTAAACAATAATATGCATGTATTATATACATATAAACAGTTCATAGTACAGTCTTCATCAGTTATCACTGTGGAGGTTTCCATTAATTAAATGATGGACAATATACATAATTTGGTCACTGACTTAACAACACATGATAAAACCTTGTCTGATCTAATTTCTAGGACTCAGTGTAGTAGTGTACATTACTTACTCATCTCTTGCTTGGCTGCACGCTGATAAAATGCCAGTTCAACAAAAAGCGGACCATTTGAATGTGGCTCCTACAAAAAAACAAGATACTAGATATAATTCATCAACTAGATATAAACTTTTTACAGCTCAAGCAAAATTCTTCAGATCCCCTTCAATGTAAACAAGCTTTTACTAGTTGTAGATGTTGGCATATAATGGGGGCAATCTTTTCCCAAAGTAGAGAAGAGTTATAACCCTAAAATGATAGGAAAAACAGGCCTTCCCGGGAAGGCATGCAATCGCACCAGCATGTGCTGGTACACGCCTCCCCACACCAAGGAGTGTGTTTAATCGCTTGCCTATTTTTGTAATCTATGTATTTTTAACCAAAGCAATGGAAACTTATAAGGTGACAGAAAAACAAGAAAATGCTTTTTGCTTTTTATTTTTATGTGTCTTAAATGTCAACATAATAATTTTGAAGAGTTGTTGTGACAACAGTTTAATGCAATCAAACACAGATCAAATGATAGTAGCACCAGGGCTAGAAGTAGTCCCGTAAATTTCATTCTTACATCTAAGGCTGCAGAAACTATTATAATACAACAATTTGCAATCATCTTCAAGCCCAGTGCTTGTAAAAACCAAGTCGCATTTTTATCATAGACTTGTTTCTAAAATGTACAATATGTTTCTAAAATACCATAGGTCGAATTTTTATGCAAAAGGCTTCCAGTCTAGACAAGACTTGTTCTGTTTTTCTTCTAATCTACAATCATAAACTTGGTGTCTTCAGAAAGAAAAGTAAAGGGGCCACAAAGGAGCTTGCCATATTCTTGAAACGGGGCAACAATTACATTATAGGCTATTACTATTTAAGCCCAGGACAATAAGCAATATGTAACAAAGATTTAGTGCAAGTTGTGAGTGAAATATCAGATCATCAGGCATCTATCATTCTAAGGAGCTGCAGTTTTTATGTGAAAGCCTTTGCTGAAGGCCCATGCTGGAAAGCTCGCTTTCTGTACACTATTGGTTTTACGCCATTGATTCCAGTATACAGTTCTTACCGCCAGCTAGGTTAAACAACCCTCCCTAGAGTGCTTGGTAAGAAAGCAAATCGGAGACATTTCATCATTACCTTACTGGTCTAACCGGTGAACATGATGGAAGATTTGTGCCAACGTAAGAGATGTTTAGGACAAACTGCGTTGTATTCATAAGACAGGTTTGAATGGCGTTAGTTGCTCTTGGAGCCACAAGATCTGTGTTAAACTTTATCAAAGGCTTGATAACTCATTACTTACCTCTCTTGTCATTAAATTAGCAAATATAATTGGTTATTAAAGGTTTCCGCGTTTTCGATTTTCACCCTCGTTCGAAATCGAAAACGTGGAAAACGCATAATTCTCATTTCTTTAAAAATAAGGTCTTATATTTCAATTCTTGAAAGAACTCTGTTGCTTTGTTTATGTATTTCAATTCCAGAAGCTTCAAGCAAAATTTCACTTTTCCACGTGCTCCGCGTTTTCCGCGTGTTCCGCGTTTTCCGCGTGTTCCGCGTTTTCCGCGTGTTCCGCGTTTTCGACCTGGCCGAACGCTAGCTCTCTGGATTCAAAGAGAGGGAAATCTGTAATAGAATTGTTCTGTTTCAAGCGTTTGCATTGAAAAGTTTCGTACCGTTTTCAAATCATGCCAATTTCAAATTGTGCCATTTCACATCGTGCTGTTTTTGAACTGTCCCATTTTCAAATCATCCCATTTTCAAAACACTTTTCATATCTCTTTTGATGAGACATGATTGAAAGTTGGGGCCAAAATACTAACATTTTTCAAGGGTTTCATGAAGAATGCCAACATGGTTGGTAGCAAGAGGGATTGCCAGGTACTGCATCTAAAATATTTTCAGCATCAAATTTAGTAAAGATCCCTGCCAATATTCATAAGCTTTCCTTTATCATTATGCCACCAGATATATTTATTGTTAAAGTTGTGTGATAAGTGAGGAAATGACTTAAGAATGTGGGTTTTTTTAAGTTTCCATATACTATGTAATCAAACCTTTATAGAAATATAACAAAACATCAATAGCACTCCATCACATGCCTAAAACAGTCTAGGGGTGCAAAATGCCACACCCATGCTAATTTATTCCCAAAAGGCCTGAAAACATTGTTTTAAACAAGGGATTTTCCAAGAACTAAACAATTTTGAAGCTTATTAGCTAGAGATCACTCTTTACTTTTCAGGCAATTGTATGGTGAGCTTTGGGCAAAGCAAAATCTTAGTCAGAATATGAGAAAATCAAAAAGTTTTTGTACTAGAGGAAATTTCATCTGTTACAGTCATTAATAACACCACCCTTTCATCAGCCCATCCCTTGTCGTTGTCACCTTGGCTTGAACTCTTGGCACCCCTACTCAATCCTCAAAGACTGGGTTTCCTAACCCTTTCTTAAACCCTTTTTTAATAAGGGCAACTAGCTTGTGTATAACTTGACTGTGATATATTGGACAGTAGGTAAAATGCTTCACCAACAACAGTTTTCCTTATATGTGCTGAAACTTTTATCATCTAAAAGCATAACAATCACAAAAAATTGCATGTTGACTAAAATTCTGGCCCTTAATCCCAAACTAAAGATAGTTTAACACCCAATGATTGAATTGACTTGACAAAAAATTAAAGCCAACAGTGGCAGGAAAAAGATCATCAACAGTTCATGAACAGATAAAATTCAATCAACATTCTCTCAAATATGTAGTAAACTAATATTTGCAAGCTCAAAATTTTTTTTATAGAAATACACTTACCATTTTGATAACATAGGCTGCACTGTCAGTTACTTCACTGCTTATCTTATCAGAGCCTAAAATTATCAGAAAAACCATCAAAAAAGACAAAGACAAACCCCTTCAATGCTCAGGCAACCAAAATTGAAGCTAACTAACTTGCAATCTTGATTCCTGCTCACAAAAGATAAAAATAGTTTGAAGCTTTATTGAATAAAGTGGCTTATTGAATTAAAGAGCTCAATCAAAGTACTTAGCTTTTCCCCATTTATGTCCTGCTTAAGCCTGGTTTTCATTAGAGTCATAAGGGTTGTAAGGATTGTAAGAAACATAATTTTAAGATTTTATGAGGCTCATGATCAAGTGAAAAAACCAAGAATCACAACCGTAAAATTATTAGCACTTGAAATTTTCTCTTACAATGCGTGACATTAGGATTGAAAGATAAAAAACTTTTTCATCCTTATGATCCTTATGACCAGATGTAAATCATTGCTGTTTAACCATCATAATGACCTTTTTTAAAGAAGTCAAACAAATAAACCACTTTAATCATACCAAGATAGAGATATCCAAAGACTCCTTGGCCAATTTAAGGGCCTAATCTCCATTGATTTTTTCCCAATTCAGTCAGAATTTGGCCAGGTGAAAGTGGCTTCGCCATCCTTTTAGCTGCTTGTTTTTTTAGGGGAATTTTTTTATTTTTCATTTTTTAGGTATAAACCTTGACCATTATATCGTATTTTCCAATGGCCTCCAATGTGAGACGGGCTTAAGTATTTGCCGTATATGTATATGTTGTTACATTGTACTATTGATGTTTTATTTTAATCTAGTATATGTATATGCAGTGTTAAAGTTTTATTTTTAGTTATATTTAGATACATGTCATATCCCAGGGGGCAGTCACGTTATATTGCTCCTCCTGGGTTCCGTCCTTGTATTGTAGTTTAGTAGTTTGTATGTACTGTTTTAGGTAATTTGCTATTGTAAGTTTTCATACTGAATAGAAAAAAAAACCAGATGTTCCTTTGTTTTGGATGTTCCTTTGTTTTGAGAATTAAGTGACTAAATTCCCTGATTTTTAGTTGCTGGCAACAAGCATTGCTCCTTCTCTCGATGGCCTTAAGGCAAGATCATATATCGCAGTCCAGCTGCTTGTTTGACAAGTCTTCGAAAGACTACCAGTTGGCAAAAACACCTTGCTCAGATCTCCCTGCTCAGAATCCAAAATCCTTATTATCCTTATGACTCTGGTGAAAACCAGGCTTTAATGTTGATGCCTTAAATCTGTTATGATACAATGCATGATGAAAACTTCAAATTATATTTTTATTTTTAACTTGTGCACCATCTTGGAGTAGTTTTAAACAATTAAAAAGGAGGTTCTTGAAAATATTTTTAGGGCCATTCCAGACCCATTAACGCCAAGCTTATGACAAAATTATTTTCCCTGCCACATCCGCCGCTGCCAACAAGCCAAGTAAATTATGAAGTCCTCTCCTGATATCTCAAGTGTAAGTTACACGGATTCCAACCTTGGTCGGGATCATGTAAACATCTTGAACGGAGCCTAAAGAAAATCATAATGCTACTGCGTTGATTTATAACGAGATCTTTCAAAATCATCGCTGCTTAACCATCATAACAACTGAAGCTTTTTTTAAAAAAGTCAAGCAAATAAACCACTTTAATCATACCGAGATAGAGATATCCAAAGCCTCCTTGACCAATTAGAGGGCCTAATCTCCATTGATTTTTTCGCAAGTCGGTCAAAATTTGGCCAGGTGGAAGTGGCTTCGCCATCCCTTTTGGTACCCGTTTTCCCGGGGGCATCTTCTTTTTAGGCTGAATCTTTTCTCTTTATGATGCCTATCTGCTTGCCTCTATTGATTATAGACGACTTTTTCCATTTTGTCTTGTTACACCTTTTCGTTATATGTTCAGTTTTCAGTTATGTTAAAGTAGGCCCCTGAATGACAAAATTTTGGCGCCAAAACAATACAGTGATGTTGTTGTTCCTGTTCCTGTCGCTTTCTTCCTTTTTTACAGGGTTTTGGCCTAAGCAGTTTCAAAGTTCAGGTGGGTTAGTTGTATTATCTTTTCTCGTTGCAATTTTAAAGTTTTATGTTACTTTAACGGTCATATCTCGCTTTGCATCCATTTTAACACATAGCTTGTCAAGAAGAAGACCAGGTCCGAGGTTGGTTGTTCTGCAAATTGCCAAGAAAAGGTCCATCGAATTATATAGGCCTGACGATTCAGACGATTCGCACTTGCTCTCATATCAATCTTTCCTATTTGACCCCTAGCGCTGCCAACGCTGCTCCATGCTATAAATGTGCACATTTGAGTCTAGACCAAATTTCCCAGTGGTTCTTGAGTGTGACTATATGTTTTAATCTGTTTACATTTTCCCCTGTTAGGGAAATTCAATGATTGAAAGTTGAAACTTATGCTTAACTACAACTACCATCAGTTGCTTTTTTCAAATTTCCCACAGGTTTGGCAAGAAGAGGAATAATTTGAGAAAGAATGTTTGAAAAGGCCAAAAACATGATCATCCTAAAGAGTGATCTCAACAAGAAGTGCTGCCAAAAGGGGAGGGGGGAGAAGGCAAATTGAGCCAGGGCCTTGAGGTTCCAGACTGTAAAGTATTATTTCTTTGCTGGGAACACCAAAACAATAAATTCAATATTTGCAGATAATGAACATTTCCTGTCAAAGAGTGTGCAGAGTTTGTAGCAAAGACTTTTGATGAGACCTTCTTTTCTTTGTTTTTTTCTTGTTATCAGAAGTCAGATGTTTAAAAAGTAGAATATTCGTGGAGAACATGGCCAGAAAAACAAATAATGTGCTTGAGTGCCCACTAGGTATATATGTGCACCTTAAGCATGCACTTCAATTGTGGTCCTAGGTAATAAGCTTTGTGTGCAAATGGTTTCATGAAAATCTGACATGAGTAAAGAGATGGGCCAGATACGAGCCCCTTGCTCATAGCTCCTTTGTGTTGATTCTTCATTTGCTATAATTCCAACATCTTAGACTGTCTTAGACTGACTGCCAGCTGTGCAGTGGTTTTTCTAAAATATACTTTGAATGTACATTTGCAATACTCTGCAATCTAGAAGCCAATTTTGTAAAAGAATCTGTTATTTCTATAGGCCAAAACATTTATATACTTTGTAAGCAGTAAATAATTGTAATTCTAGCTTTAACCCTTCATTTTAGAATTCTATTACCATGGCATCATCTACAACACAAAAACATAAAAACTTTGTGTGTGAGCCCATGGGAGAGAAGGAAGTTACTGATCTAGCAGGTATTGGCCCAGTTCTTGGAGGGAAACTGAAGGAAAAAGGCTTTGACAAGGCATATGTTGTGTTTGGGCAATTTTTGCTTTTGAAGAAAGATCAGGAGCTATTTACAGAATGGTTGAAAGATGAATGCGGAGCAAATGCCAAACAAGGAAGAGATTGCTACAACTGCTTGAATGATTGGTCTAATGCATTCTTATAGAAACTGATGAAATATAGAAACAACAATTAGACTTCTCTTTCAACTTTGTGAAAAGTTCAAAGATGAGATAAGCAATATTCAGACAGCTGATTATAGACCTTGGACGAGAAATTTTAGTATTCAGAATGGTGACCAAAGAACAGCAAATATTTATTGATCACTGAAAGACAAAATAGATTCCAAGTTAATTTTACCACACTTTTTGCCTATTTGTTTTGGTGTAGTATCATCTTTTTTTAATATTTGTTATCAAGCAGTTAAAATGAATGGAAATGTTTTCTTAATTTAATGGCATGATTTATTTTTTTAAACAGTTTTTGGGAGTTGTTTCCTTCTTAAGACTTGGTAAAAAAGATATTAGTCGACAAAGGCCATGCAAAACATTGAATTGGCAAATTTATGATGATGTTCCCACATGGGTTGTGTTTAGGGCCTTTTCTTTTCGTTCTGTATACAAAAAGTCCCTATCAATTTTCTGCCCCAAGATGTATGCAGATGACACAAGTATTTCCACTAACAGTGAAGATCACCTACTACTTTTAGAAGACCTAATAAAGGAACTAGAGGGGATCGTGGACTGGCTAAGAAAGAATAAACTAAGCCTAAACGTAGCAAAGAGTGAATGTTTTTTTGTAATAGCAAACAGCTAGATAGCAAACAGCAAATAATAAATATTTTGACATATTCAGATATTCTTATGTTTATTTGGCTTTAAATTCTTTCCTATAAAAACATAGCAATTGGATAAACATAGAAAATTTCCAACAAGACCAGAGGTTTCTCGACAAAATAGCAGTCTAGCTCTACAGGGTTTTTTTTGCCCCTCTCTGACCCCCTCTATCTTAGCCACTGCCGCCAGAGCAGTTTACCCAGCATAGCTATTTTAGCAACCAAAATACCCACCAGAGCAGCCATCATTTTCAAAAATTCTTGGGGGTGCATTCCCCATACCCCCTTAGGCACGCTTTACTATTTATGTGTGAATGAAGAAAAGGTCACTGAAGCAGGCGGCTCGACGGGCACCAAGAAGTTCTTGCAGCAAAAAAGTCGATAAAAATGTAGCAAATAGAAGACACCGCAATACGCCAAGAATAAACAACAATAAATACACGTAAATCAGTGAAGGCTAATATTTTCGCTTCATCAGAGCAAAAAACACACAACCTACATACAGGGCTTCATCAGAGGAAAAAAGGTCATCGCTTTTTTATTATAATTCAAAATCAATGATATAAAATTAGTTGTTGATATAGGACTATTCTTTTGGCTATTGGGCATATTTTTAAAGCTCAATTTCTTATTTAGGTTGATGCCTGTTTGCTTCTACTCATCAGCAAGGGTGTTGCAAACAAAGGGTATAGGGTTTTGGGTGTCCCACCCCCAAAAGTAGTTTTATAGGAATTTTCAGGGCAAATCGGTTCAATGGAAGAAAGATTTTTGGTATTTCAGTCTTCAAAGGTCAATAAAGAATCAGGCAACGGTTGACGCTCCGTTGGTTACATATGATATTCAGCAATAGATTGACCATGAGGGGGGTGTAGGGGGTACGATACCTCCCAATACTTTTGTGCCCTTGCGTAAATTTGGTTTTGATTCGCTCACAACCGTTTTTGGTGGTCTGTAAGTTACTTTGATCGAATAAATAGTCGAATTCAGCTTACTTTACTAAGTACTGTCACAGAATGGTAAGTTAAACGAAACAGCGGTATTAATACAACGCAATAACACGCGACGAGGAATGCGAGCAGGGGGTACATGCTACAGGTCAGTAGCGATAAAATAATGCCAAATTTTACTTTAGTTATCATTTGACCTTCTTTATCTTGAAGCGAGAAATTTAATTTCTAAAATTGGCCTTTCCATCATTTTCCAGTCGCCTGAAGGGGGTGACAGCAAATCAAATCAAACAACCCCCCTAAATCCTAAGAGTTGTTTCCTTCTTAAGACTTGGTAAAAAAGATATTAGTCGACAAAGGCCATGCAAAACATTGAATTGGCAAATTTATGATGATGTTCCAACATGGGTTGTGTTTAGGGCCTCTCCTTTTCGTTCTGTATACAAAAAGTCCCTATCAATTTTCTGCCCCAAGATGTATGCAGATGACACAAGTATTTCCACTAACAGTGAAGATCACCTACTACTTTTAGAAGACCTAATAAAGGAACTAGAGGGGATCGTGGACTGGCTAAGACAGAATAAACTAAGCCTAAACGTAGCAAAGAGTGAATGTTTTTTTGTAATAGCAAACAGCTAGATAGCAAACAGCAAAAAATAAATATTTTGACATATTCAGATATTCTAATGTTTATTTGGCTTTAAATTCTTTCCTATAAAAACATAGCAATTGGATAAACATAGAAAATTTCCAACAAGACCAGAGGTTTTTCGACAAAATAGCAGTCTAGCTCTACAGGGTTTTTTTTGCCCCTCTCTGACCCCCTCTATCTTAGCCACTGCCGCCAGAGCAGTTTACCCAGCATAGCTATTTTAGCAACCAAAATACCCACCAGAGCAGCCATCATTTTCAAAAATTCTTGGGGGTGCATTCCCCATACCCCCTTAGGCACGCTTTACTATTTATGTGTGAATGAAGAAAAGGTCACTGAAGCAGGCTGCTCAACGGGCACCAAAAAGTTCTTGCAGCGAAAAGTCGATAAAAATGTAGCAAATAGAAGACACCGCAATACGCCAAGAATAAACAACAATAAATACACGTAAATCAGTGAAGGCTAATATTTTCGCCCCTACATACAGGGCTTCATCAGAGCAAAAAAAGGTCATCGCTTTTTTATTATAATTCAAAATCAATGATATAAAATTAGTTGTTGATATACGACTATTCTTTTGGCTAAAGAATCAGATCAAGGTATCAAACTCTGGGCAATTTTGGATAAATCACAGATAGCACAGAATTCCTACCATTCTGATAAAAAGGTAAACCAGCTCTATTTTTATCATTGTTAATTCTTTGTTTTAAGGTTTGCTAATAAATTAAGACTGATAATGCTTACCAATCACTTACGAAAAAACATATAATCAGCTATTAGAAAAATAAAATTAGAGAAATTCTTGTTACAACAAACAAAGCTAAATTTGAATAAAATATCTTACATTATATGCTGCTGCAAGCTTTGCATTTATGGGCTTTATAAATATATACTTTGATTATCTAAAGAGAGGCTGAGCTTGTCAATTCTGGTCATGGTGTCTCTCGTACCTTTTAAGGAATTTAAGGAATATTGTAAGGAATTTTTTCTGCCAAAGTTAGCTTTATGAAGCTAGAACTTAGATGTGATATTGTTTTGTAGTCCTCCACGAAAGGAAAAGCTAGAAGCATTATCAATATATGCTGTTATAAGCCCCTCTCGTGAATTTAGCTTATGTTATTGTGCACATTTCTTTATCAAATCAACAGGCAATAGCTAATCGGAGACATCAACGGTTTTAGTTTCCGGCTCCATTAAATTTGAATGAGTTAAAGCATGAAGACTCTATCTAGCTGTTTTACAGAGCAATTGGGCATATTTTTAAAGCTCAATTTCTTATTTAGGTTGATGCCTGATTGCTTCTACTCATCAGCAAGGGTGTTGCGAACAAAGGGTATAGGGTTTTGGGTGTCCCACCCCCAAAAGTAGTTTTATAGGAATTTTCAGGGCAAATCCGTTCAATGGAAGAAAGATTTTTGGTATTTCAGTCTTCAAAGGTCAATAAAGAATCAGGCAACTGTTGACGCTCCGTTGGTTACATATGGTATTCAGCAATAGATTGACCATGAGGGGGGTGTAGGGGGTACGATACCTCCCAATACTTTTGTGCCCTTGCGTAAATTTGGTTTCGATTCGCTCACAACCATTTTTGGTCGTCTGTAACTTACTTTGATCGAAGAAATAGTCGAATTCAGCTTACTTTACTAAGTACTGTCACAGAATGGTAAGTTAAACGAAACAGCGGTATTAATACAACGCAATAACACGCGACGAGGAATGCGAGCAGGGGGTACATGCTACAGGTCAGTAGCGATAAAATAATGCCAAATTTTACTTTAGTTATCATTTGACCTTCTTTATCTTGAAGCGAGAAATTTAATTTCTAAAATTGGCCTTTCCATCATTTTCCAGTCGCCTGAAGGGGGTGACAGCAAATCAAATCAAACAACCCCCCTAAATCCTTGCCACTTAAATCCGTCCCTGGTGATAATCCCGCGGAGGATTTTAGATTTCTTGTTGGTACTAAATCGAAAATACCAGGCCTTATATTCATTTATCAATCAATACCAAATACAACTCTACAAAATTAAAACTACATTACAATTACTGTACAATTACTAATTTACAAGAGACCATACATACTACAGAGAATACACTCAGGGGCGTAACTTGGCCAATAGTTTTGGGGGGGTGAAAAGGGTTTCTGCCCTGCAAAACTGAGTGGTGCCCTGCAGACCTAGTAGCAACGGTTTGTCTATAGGTTACTAGTGAAAGCTTTACCAGTGTACACTGGTCTTTACCAAGGACAAACTTCTAAACAATAAAAACAAACTTGAAACTTCATTGCCTATGAAATTTCTATTTCTCTACGTGAGCGTAAATTGTTTTTTATATTCACTTCATTTAATGTTTGGTTTGCAAAATTAAGCTAATAAACAGCTAATTGGGGGGGGGGGTACATGATGTAGACAGCGCAACAAAATTTAGCCCAGTGGGGCTAAGAGTCGAGTTTAGTGAGGTAGGAGGACCCACCATGGTTGGGTCCGACGTGAAGAAATTTTTTGAAATTATACCTTGTAAAAGGGCTAAAAAGCATCTTTCAGACAAAAATTTAGCAAAATACTATTGTGCTAAAAGAACTGATTGTTTATTGAAAATATTATTGTTTATTGGGAAAAATAGGGAGGGGGATGTCATGCTAAAACTCTAGTGTAAGCGTTGGGGAAGGAAAGAAACGGCAACCTTTCGTTTCAGATTGCACGTAGTTGTGAATGACAGAGGAAGATGTTGTTTTGATTGGGAGAATTTTTTTTCCTGAACAGAAATGTGCAGTTTCTTGTATCAAGAAGGCCATATTTACACATCCAAAATTGAAACATTGCAATGAGACAGAAAATGATTTACTGAATTAATGCAAATAAAAGAAAAATATTAAAAAATACGTGAAAAAGTTAGCAATTAGATGAAACAAAATCGGTATCTTAACGATTTATTATGTTTTTTAGTTCATGCACTGATAAAAAGTAATAGAAAAAATGATAAAAAAATTCCTATCTTGACCAAAGTGAGGGACTTCAGCCCCTTATTCCTCCCCAGTGACGCCGTGCTTGTCATGAAAATAATTTACAACTTAAATTAATTTATATGGACTCAATCTTGCCCTCATAAACATGTGCATCAATCATTGCATCCATTGGCTTTGACTTTCGGTAAGGAATGCTTTCGCTTTGCTAATAACGGAGCTCTTCCTGACATACCTTTTCCGTTCTCTAAAATGCAATGTCAGGAAGGGAGGTTTATAACAAATATAATATTTCCATTTCAAAATTCGTGAACGGCCCTTTACGAACTTCAGAGGTGGCATTTCTGCGTGGCAACAAAGCTCTTCTTGGCGCCCTGCGAAATCTTCGATTGCCCTGCGTAATCGACTATTTTTTGGATTGGGGGGGTGTCACACCCCCCACACTCCCCGGTAGTTTCGCCCCTGAATACACTATCTAATTGTATTCAAGATTTATTGAAAGGAGAAGTTCTCTAAATAGGTAAACTAATCGAGACAGAGAGCCTCCTTGTTAATGCCGAAAATTGGTAAATTTCTACTTTTGCTACTGTTTTCTGTAGCATTTTCTGCAAGAGCTTCCTTTGTTATTTTGAAAGCATTACATTATACCACTGGCTAGGGGGGACAAGGGACATGAGCGTCCCTAAATCTTAAGCCTGGTTCCCACTTGGTCGTTTGGGTCGTTTGAGTCGTCAGAGTCGTTCCTGAAAGACACGAACGACCCAAAGAACACATTGGTTTCCACTTGGTCGTTTGAGTCTTTAGAGTCGTTTGTTGTTGATGCTGTTCATTGCTTCCACCATGCATCGCTCATTTAATTTTGGTGGCATGCGTGGAAGGAACGATGGTAGCATTTGATAAACAATAACTGATGTTGCAAAGTCAACTATTTCTACCTCTGGTGACTTTGTACAGACGACGATGTTAGATCACTAAATTTCAGTGCAATAGCTTGCCATGATTTGATATTTTTGTATTTATTTTTAAACTATTTCCAGTGATTGTTATAATGGCACTCGTATTTTTGAACTTCTTCCATAAAGCTTTCTGTGAAATATTCAGCTATCTTGTTCTTGTTCTTGTTCTAGTCAAACACGCAGTTACAAGAAAATCCCCTATTCTTGAAGAAAAAATTACTAAAGCGTGGGTCGTTTGAGTCGTTTGAGTCGTTTATCGGTTTCCACTTGCAAAAATCATTCATGCGTGGGTATTTTGGGTCGCGGAGATAGAATTTTTTCTATCTCTGCGACAACTGTCGTTTGAGTCTTTCGGGTATTTTGGGTCGTTGGCAGGTCCGTTTCCACTGTGTCTTTTCAGTCGTTTGGGTATTTTCCAACGACCCAAACGACCCAAACGACCAAGTGGGAACCAGGCTTTATCGCATTCAGTGCTTTTTTGGAGTTAAGAGTTTGGAATAATCCGCGGAATTAGATCGCTGATGTGATAGCTAACTTTTGCAAGATTACATCATTGAACCCCGTTTGCATCCCATGACATGCCAGACCAGAGTCATACGAGGTCACATCACATATCACATGACCGCATAGGCCTAGGATGACATAAAAAACGCATAGCGCAAAATTTTGATATTGTGAAAATACAGAAAGCAGTAAGATGCCATCGCAAACGTACAACGTCTCTGTACTTTCTCCGAAGCTAAGGCACGAAGAATTCATTTTGAGTGTTGCTGATACATTGAATTACTTGGAAAAGATATCAGATGACATCTTCTGCAGGATTTCCAAACGAGTCGAAGATTATCGGGATAAACTAAGTTCTATAAACAGAAGAACTGATTTGGCCCAGGCCAAAATCGACAAGTTAAAAAGTAGCAAGAAGGCTATTCAGGTTTTCTCAAGCGCAAAATATCCAGCTGCAGATGAGCTAGAGCCATACAAGTCAATTTTTAGTGGCAGTGGCAGTTGCGCAGAGATCGAAAGGGCGTCTGTGCCAATCAATTCAAGACATCGACCTGTTGATGGAAGGGTCATGAAAGAGCGATTATCGTATCATAGAATAAATGCCAGAAAACAGAGTGGGGAAGATCGTGGTGAGGGACTGGGAAAGCTCCCAAAAAACCTAGAGTCCGTGAGTTCACTGTTACTTTTCAACACTGCTGAAAATCCGTACAAGAAATATGTCATGTTAGATCCTTTATCTGGAGCAGTTACAAAGACAAGAACTGCGATAGAAGATGAAGAAAGTCAAATCGGAGAAGCCCCGAGTACAATCACAAATAAAGAGCAAATTGAGAGGGGAATAGCCGATAACTATTTATACATGCCAGGACTTGGAGAAGTACCGGAGATTGATGTACCAGCATACTTGCCCGATTTGCCAGGAGTTGCTGATAATCTTTCTTACAGGTAAATGAAGAGTATCATTCTGTTAAGATAAGTTTCTAGAATGGAAAAGTGATTATAGCGGGATGTCGTCAAAATATACTGTTTGGATCTTCGAATTTTGACCATTGAATCTAAAAAACACTGTGAATACCTCTAAATGTGCTAAATCAGTTAAACTTGTTTGGCTGAGATCATTTAAGTAAAAAAGGAAAAATCCAGGGAGATATCTGACATATGCTTTGGTAGGGTAAAATGGGGATCTCTGGTGATGATATTCTGATGGGAAAATGCAAACATTACCATTGTGTTGGGGCATGACCTAAGACTTCTTCAAACTGACTCATTACCAAACCATGATGTTTTCCATTCCAGTTCTCTAAGAAAAACCAAGCCTGGATTTTATTTGGTGTCCTTAGCAGGTCCATAATGTCCATGAAAAAGTCAGAATCAATATATAAATCAGAAAATAAGATTTTTGATGAAAATGCAGTTGGCAAAAATGAAAATAAGCAGTCTAAAATATATGCAATCTAGCTTAAACATTGTCAATATAGTATACTCAAGCATCAGCTATTGGAAAAGAGAACTGAAGTTTATATGATTAATGTTGCTTTGGCTCTGGACTGCAGAGTAAGGCAGTTTTCAACATGATCTCAGATGTGCAAGAGTAAATTTCAAGTGTGCAAGTGTGCACTTTGGTCTAAGTGTGCACTTTCATTGTGTTTATAGTTTATCCATAACTTTACTAGAAGATAAAGATATCAACAAGAAAATGGACATGATTTCTAGTTATTTTGAACCTATTAAACTAATGCAAGATTATGTCGAAATTGAGGAAACACGATTCTTCATTTTTCTATAAGTAATAGGACACACCCATGTTGTGCCAAGAACTCAAAATGCCACACCCTTTACCAGGTGTGCAGGGACGTTTTAGAAAAAATCTTTCGGGTGTGCACTTGCCATTCTCTACAGTCTGGCTTTGGCTTAGTTTTTAAAATTTAGAACCAAGACCCGTTTATTAGGAAATAGGTAAAATAGGGAATATAATAGGAAAAAAATTGTTTTTTCTTACAGCTATATTTTAAAAGATATCTACAAAATACATTCATCACTTGATAACTCTATTGAAGCAACATTTAATTGAATATATATATATATACATTACCTCTTATAGTACAGGCATGAAAGAATGCCTTGGGGACTATAAAATCTTTTTCTCTCAAATTACACAAGTTCTATATAGTTGAGTTTGGTTTCTTGTGTTTTAATAATCTAAAATTCAATTTAATTGAATTTTAATAACTTTAGCTGAAATTTTCTTAGCAGCTTCCAAGCTTTTTCTTAAGCCACTTTCAGCTAAATCCTGGTTTATAACTTAGGTCATGTTTACCAGGCATGGCACATGCTTGGTTTAACCATATAATTAATCCATATAAAGTGGACTTATACTTTATAAGTGAAGTTCACCGAAATTATACTTTGGTAATGGGTGTTGTGTATCCAGTTCTATTCCATTTGAAAACTACACTTTTTGCATACTTTTAATTTGGCAAAGTATTTGCCTATTTTAAAATATTAACACCCTCATGCAGTCCTGGTAATGCGAAATTTTGTTGGCATGCTGGTAATAGCACAACTTGAAAAGTTTAGGCCTGTAATGACGTGTGATCCATAAAATGGAGACCTTACGATTTTTATGAAGACCTGATAGCATTTTAAATGCCATGTATGTATTTGAAGGGTTGTGATACTCACTGTTAGGGAGTATCACTGTTTCATACAACCAAATAATTTTTAGGGAATTTGGAAGAAGTTTCTTGAAAATAAAATAATTAAGTAAAAAGCATACAAGTTTTTAGATCCAGTTGCCATCACTCCGTTTTCGTGTGAATAGATTTTTGAGTTCCATTAATATGCTCAAAAACGGAGTCATTCAATACCAAACCGGAGTCATTCAAAATGTGTACAAAGTGGAGTCATTCAAAAATGGAATCGTTTGAAAAAAGCATCGTTTTATTGGGAACAGCTTTCGAAAATAGAGTCATTCAATCTCATCGAAAAGGGCTCAATCAACGGATAATAGAACATATAAAAAACGAGTAATGGAAACACCCATGTTATCGGTTTGACCAAAACAGAATGGCTTGGGGTAATGTGTTCCAGAAAATACGAAAATGGAATGAGAAAAACGGAGACATATACGGAGTAATGGAAACCGAGTCTTAAAGAGTTATGAGGCCCCCGGAAATGCCATCAAGATAACGCGCAAAAAAGAAATTAAAAATTACTTTAAAGAAAATAAACAAGAAATTGAAAGAAACAAAAGAGAAGAAGAATAGTAATTCAAAAACATGGAACTGTGCATGCGATAAAAAAGCAGGCCTTGGCAGTTTTTTGCCTGTGTAGAGGCGTTCGCATGTGATCGCACGCCTAATATCACCAGGACTGCCCTCATGCCAAAAATAATCAAATCTGTAGCTCCCTGTGCAAAATGTGCATTTTTCATTCTCCCACAGTCGTGTAGCTCACTAAAGATGTAGGACAGTAGCGGCTGGCATGAAAATAAAATCGTACTAGACCAGGGGCGGACTGGCTGGTCGGGCTATTCGGGCGATCGCCCGAAGGGCCGGTCGGTTTGAGGGCCGGCTGATAAAAGTGCAAAAAAAAAAATTAGCTTAAAAAGTATACCCACGCGTTGATCTGTTTGCCTTGAATTTTCAGAGACACTTGAATGTTGAATTGTTGGAAAGAATAAATATACATCCAAGCACTCGAGAACCATTAAAATTACGAATTCATTATTGTCACCGCAGCCCAGACACACTTCTTCAGGAAACATGTTATTG